CTGCAGGACTCGCTCTTCCTCTTCTCTTTTCTTCCTCTCCTCTTCCTCCTGCTTCCTCTTCTGCTCCATCTCAGATTTCCTGAAGAGAGAGAGAGAGAGCGGTTAATGAGTTTACTCTTGATCAATGGCCCGCAGGAAGGGGACGCCAAAAACACCCACAGGTGGATTCACAATTGTCACAAAGAGAAGCGTGGACTGAATGTAGTGTTTGCCGTGCCCTTCAATGGCAGGTGAAATTGAATAGTGCGCTGGGGAGCATTGTTGAGGAGCGCTGTTACCAAAATGTTAGAATTTTCATATCAAAAGAACTATATATTTATATACATCTCACAAACAACTCCTTTGCATCTAGTTGTTGTTGATGTTGAATTCAGGTGATGACATGTTGATGCTTGCCAAACATGAGATCTTGAAAATATAGACAAACGTTCATATGAAACAAAATCAATGCTAAAAGTATTATAATAAAAGCCTTGTCGAATGGCACAAACTGAAAAAATATAATACATGGAATTAACAGGTTAATAGTGTGGAGGAATTATGACGTCAATTTGTATGCAAAAAACCCGGAAGCAAGTTAGCATTTTAGCAGTTTCGGTTTCCTCATCCGGTTTCCTCATCTCAATGGGCCCTATCATACACCCGGCGCAATGTGGCGCAAGGCGCGACGAAATTGTTTTTTGCTAGTTTCAGCTTGAGTCGTTTTAAGGTGTTGCGCTAAGCTGTTTAAATAGCAAATGCATTTGCGCTCATAAGAGCGCCCATAGGCGTTCTGGTCTAAAAAGGAAGGCGTTCTGAGGCGCACTGCTGGCACGTTGCTATTTTGAGAAACTATAATAGATTCTTCAATAGAACAAAACAAAACCCGGTCTAAAGTCCAGCGCAGAGTTGTGTCTCAATTACACACTGCTTTATACACACAAGATTTAGAGAAATACGCAAATATCTTTACATATGAAAAAATTTTAATATTAAGGATATATATAGTATATAAATATAAAGGATTAAAATATTACAAAACATATTATTTTCTAGCCTACATAAATATGAAAAACCACTGCTTTTATGCCTTCTTCATCTCGGGAGGCTTTTTCAGTTCATTCATAACAATTTGCTTTTGTATAATGTTATTATTATTAGCAGTATTATTTATTATATCCATATTTATATTTGTTTTATTTAAAAAAAGCTTAGATTTGCCCATCTGCAGGTTTTAGACCATATGGGGCAAAGCATGTGTTTTAGGATATAACTCAGGTCTTTGACCATACTTCGTTATTATTGTTCATTTATTCGTTTGCTGGAAATTAAAACTGAATTTAGAAATAGTTTTGAAACAAATCTTCGCGCTTAACAAACAAAATAAATTATTTATAGGGTAATTGATGTCTGTGCGTAAAGTAGATCATTTATCTCTCATTCTCGCGCGGTAGATGCTCTGTTTAACTGTTTTCTTGCTAGTGAAATGTTTCCACTTACACTTACTTTACTTCATGTAAATACCAAATGCGCTTATGGCGCGACACAACTGACTCTTAAAGGGAATGGGAGATGAGACTCTGATTGGTTTATTCTCAAAACACACCTAAAACTCATTAAGAAAATAAACTCAACCCTTTTAGATCATGCGCCACAGCGCAAAGCGGATTTTTCTGTCCTTATATTAGCAAAAATGCATTCTGACACGCCCTAAATGGGCGTTTTGCCCTTTGCGCATGGACAGTCTAAATAGAGCGCAATCACTTTTTTCTATGGGATTTCGGTTAAATCGCTTAAATAAGATTTCAACATTAAACACATCAGTTACTGTACATCACACTCTTGATTTTTTAAAATCTGATATGTTTCTTTAAAAAAAAAGACGGTTGCTATCAAGTTGCTAAATGGGACTACAGGTTATATGTCATCGAGCTGAACTGGTCTGGAATGCAGCCCGCTTGTGATGGGCATTTGGATTTGTCTGTTATTTAATATTTTCATGAATAGTATTTTATAGTTTGTAATATTTTTTTTATTGGGAATTGATATTGTGTGTAGTCTATGCCTTCACTTGTAAAGACTGTCGAGACACATTCAATTGTTGATCCTTTATTTTAATTAAATGATATTATGGGGATACTGGCAACGCAGTGGCGCAGCAGATAGTGCTGTCGCCTCAAAGCAAGAAGGTCGCTGGTTCGAGCCTCGGCTGGGTCAGTTGGCGTTTCTGTGTGGAGTTTGCATGTTCTCCCTGCGTTCGTGTGGGAGTCCTCCGGATGCTCCGGTTTCCCTCACAGTCCAAAGACATGCGGTACAGGTGAATTGGGTAGGGCTAAATTGTCCGTAGTGTATGAGTGTGAATGTGTGTATGTGGATGTTTCCTAGAGATGGGTTGTAGCTGGAAGGGCATCCACTGTATAAAACCATGCTGGATATGTTGGCGGTTCATTCAGCTGTGGCGACCCCCGGATTAATAAAGGGACTAAGCCGAAAAGAATGAATGAATGAGCTGCTTTTCACAGTACTTTGTGACAAAAAAGAATAGGGAATGTCCTTTACACTTAATTTCTGTCATCTGTTACTAAGGTAAGCGGGCTGTATATGCACACGGGGGATACACTTATTATTAACACGTCTTAGGATAATACTATGTTTTATACATACAATTTTAAAACTATTACACCAACTGTAAAGCAAAACAAAATTTAATCCACGCGTAAAAGTCCCGCAATACCCGACAACTCCTCAAATGCAGAATAACGTTTGTCACTGGATCACCTCTTGAAATCTGAGGACTGACGTTTACTCGATCGCCAGCTGGCTTTTGATACATTAGGGCAAATATAAATGTCCAAAACATCTTACTCATTTTATTCATAATCATTTTATTACTTATAATTAGGGTTAAACAGAATCTGTCGGCTTTTTTTTGCTATTTCTTCGCAGATTTTTTCTTTTTTAATCTGCAGATTTATGCATGATTTTGGGAGTATTATAACTAAAAACTTAAAATATGAAATTAAAAATAATACCTTTTTACTTTTATTTAATTAACAATACAAATCCATGTAATACAACTTATTTGGTAAACAGTAAGTCTCTCAAATAATATATCAACTACTACTTTACAAACTGTATTTTAAATTAATCATATGGACATTTACATATCAGTCAATAATATTACTAAAATGAATTTAAAAACTGAACTAATATAAATGTACACACATTTATACAAGCAAATAAATAGACTTAATGATGGGCTAAAAATCTGCGGAAATCTGCTGATTTCTGCACACACAGATTCCGTATGGGCATACTTATATTGTTCAAGACAGTGATATTCATTTTAAATACTACTTCATTGCCTTTATTAGCTTTTTTTTCTTGCCTATTTATTGGTATTAAAAACTTCAATTGATGATAAAGCAGCTGGAGATCTTCAATTTTCATCAATTTTCAGTTAATTTTATTTCAGTTTTAAAAAAATTCAATTCTGTAAATCCAGTGGTTTAAATTCGGCTGTTAAAATTCGACATTACATCTGAGAAAAGCAATAGATTGCATTAGATTGGTCAAGAATTAATGACACTAAAATGAAACTAAAGCATGTAGTGATGTTGAAAAAACAAAAAACATTGATCCATTTTTAGGTGGAAGTGCAGAACTGCTAATTAGATGTTTATATCTTCTAAAATTGTGTGATTGTTTTGGAACACATTCCCTTTAGACATCTTTACAACTGACATACTGATTCTAACATCTAAAAACGTTATTTTAATCTAAGTATTTCATGATATGTCCCTGTTTAGGTTTAATGACTTGAGTTGACGAGAACAAGTTCAAGGTCATGTTAGTGTAAAAAGTATCTTTAAATTGTCAGTCATAGCTGTGATGGCTTAGTTTAATGTTAATGTGAAGTTTAATGTTCAGCCGTCATCAGAAATCATTTTATTATGCTAATTTGATTGGAAAGATAACTCTGCTGCTTAACCTATTTGTGGAAAGTCTAATGACTTCTATAGAGCACAGAAAGTTCAGCATTTATTTTAAATGGAAATATTTTGTAACATTACCATCACTGTCACTTTTGAACACTGGATGCGGAGTAAAATGAAGTAAAATATTAATTTCTTTAAAGGAAAAAAGAAGAAAAACCTGACTGAGGTTGATAGTGAGAGCACTACCAATTCTAAAACTTCAGTCAATTATTTTCCTTAGCCCCTAAGGCCTAGTCCCTTATTTATCAGGGGTCACCACAGCGGTATGAACCAGCATATGTTTTAGGCAGCGAATACCCCATCCAGCTGCAACCCAGTACTGGGAAACACTCACCTTTTAGCAGTGCTGTTAAAACCACAACACTGTAGCTCTTTTATTAAGTAGAAAATCACATTTTAAATCTCAATTTTGATCAGAAAAAAAACAATTAGATTTATTTCTCGAAATCCAGCAACCCTATGGTATATCTTCTAAAGATGTATAGGGTCGGCAAATAAATTAAGATTTAATGCAGACTTTTTAAAGCAAATTATGTATATGCTTATGCATTGGTTTTCAATTCTGATGCCATTTTACAGATTTCAGTGTGCACTGATCCGCAGTCCTGAATCGACAGACGTGAAAAAAATGCTAAAAAAAAAACAAAAAAAAAACAGCAAGCTATAGCTCACAACGAGCAATAATATCAAGGTCATACAGAGGTAAGCACAGCAACTGAAGACACTATTTATACAAAAGCCAGTAAATTCTTGGAAATTCAGGTGATAAGTAGAAAGAAGACATGGATAAGGGAGAAAAAAAGGGCAAAGTTTTTTTAAATATTTATAGTATGACTCCTTAAGTTAAACTTGTATCGAGCTGTCACTGTAATACTGATGAGTTCAACACCTCGCTGTCAGTCTACTGACTCCTCCACAAGCGTCTGACATACTGAGTGGCCAAAAAAAAAAAAAACTACCAGTATGTAAAAGCGACAGAATCATGATGAAATATGGATGTGGAATGGCTTAAAAGTTAATTAATTTTGCTATGACTGTTCAGCCTGAGGTCGCATAGTACATCATGAAAAAATGGGCAAAAAAAAGTTACAATTTAGACAAATTTTCCCAGTTAGCCACTGAAATTAGATCAAATATGAAAATGTTTATTGGATTCAGAGTCTCTTTATACAAAAATACTATTTTAGATTTTTTAATTAGATTTATTTTTTAATTAGATTTTTTTATTAGATGTACAAACCAGAACCGCACCTGTATCGCCTCAAGGCTGATTTATACTTCTGCGTCAAACGCCGGCGTATGTTACGGCACTGACACATAGCCCTTCGCCGTGGCACCTCTCAAAAAATGTAACTACACATCGCAACGACGCGTAGCGCAAGCTCTGTGATTGGTCGGCTTGGTATTGCTGACGAGTCTGGGCAGGACCGAGAGCCGCGTGAATGGTGCGAGCCCAATGAAGCGATTGCTTACAAGTGTGGAGTCCCGTGAAGGAGCTCCGGATGGAAAGTTTTGTTTTGTGTTTACCTCATAGTTAAAGTTGTTGCACGTCCGCCGGTTCCTGCCTCAAAATGAGCAAGTTTGAGCCACTTGTACATCCCGGAAGTGTTCAGGAAAAGCAAAAAAGTAGCGAAAATACTCAACACAGAGGAACATTTACACCTCACTGCCAACTAGCGTTTCGGAAGTGTTAACGCAGACCAACAGAGACCGCGTTCAGAAGTATAAATGCACAGCCACGCGCGTTGCATGCAGTATAAATCAGGCTTATGCCATCATCTAAATCCATTTACAGAAAAAAACAGTATGTTTGCTGTTTGTTCGAACTACTTATTCAAAATGAGCTGAAGCAACACAATTCTTGAGTTTTTTGGGAAGACAACCTAATTGTTTTACAGTATGTTTAATCCACTTAAATTTGTAAAAGCTAAGGGCTCTATTTTAACGATCTAAGCGTAAAGTCTTGTGCTTATTCTCTGAATGAGTTATGGGTGTGTTTTGAGTATACTGTAACATGCATTAAACCAATCAGTCTCATCTCCCAATCCCTTTAAGAGTCAGTTGCATTGAGCAATGGGTCATTTTGCTATTTACATGGCGGACTTAATAAGTGGAAAAACTGAATGCTTTACTAATGAGAAAACAGTTCAACAGACCATCTGCAGTGAGGATAAAGAATGAGCCTTCTCCATTCAGCCTTTTTACTTTCTCTTTACTTTACTTTTACTCTTAACTTTACTCCTTTACTTTCATGGATAAGAAAACGGTGCTTTACACACTCCACTGAAGATATCCATTAGCCTACATATTTAATTTAGTTTATTAAGCGCAAGGATTTGCTTCAAAACTATTTATAAATTCAGTTCTTATTTACAGCAAACAAATAAATGAAGAATAATAACAAAGTGTGTTGAAAAAGTTATATTCAAACACAAGTCCTGTTTTCAAGTCCTGATGCAAACGTCTCCAAAACCCGACAGGTGGAAAAATCTAAACTTTTTTTAGTAAAACAAGTATAAATATGCATATAATACATAATACTGCTAATAATAACAAATGCAAATTGACAGGAATAAACTGAATCCCCCCACTCTTGGGTTGAAAAAGGCTTAGAGGCAGTGGTTTTTATATTTATGTAGAAAATAATAATTGTTGTAACATTTTAATCCTTTATTTTTTTATATGTGATATTTGTGTGGATCAGGGTGGGGCCAAGTTGGAGCGCTCACTCTGATCCGCCAAGCTCTGCAGGTTGTGGAAATTCCAAATTGAACTAAAACAAACAATTACAATTGGCTTAAGATTGGCAAGGAAAATTCGGCCCAAGCATTAACCAGCAGGAAAAATAAAAAATATTTGTGTATTGCTGTACATCCTGTGTGTATTCAGCAATGTGTAAGTGTTTGGACCTGCATAGACACATAACTAACGTTCTCTGGTTTTAGTTGGTCAATGATGCAGTCTGTTTCAGTTCTTCAAAAAGGGACCTTAACACACCTCCTTTTTAGACAGGAACACCCATGAGTCCACACAGTGGCGCAAATTGATTTGCTATTTAAACAACGTGGTGCAAAATGTGAAAATTACAGTTGCGCTGGTTTGAAAATACCAACAAATAGTGCGCCTTATTGCACCTGTGTATGATAGGGCCCTGAGACATTAACTTAATTCCCTCATGTTGCCCCAACATAAACTGAATGTATGTAACCAAGCATTTTTAGTGTACATTACACAAAGACACCTGGGAAGCTAAAATGTAGCTCTTGTAGCTAAATTGACATTATGGCGTATATATTTCACACAGGGACATCCACAATTATTGAGGAACAAAACTATAGCATAATGTATAAGGGTGTGTTCACACTACAGTTTGGTTCTGTTGGTTTGTTTGATCTGGACCAAAAATAAAAAAAAGAAAGCATTCGATCTTAAAATTGATTTTGATATTCCCAAAATATCAAAATCAACAGTAGGCAGTAGATCTTTCTCTTATCTGGCACCTAAACTCTAAAAAACATCTCTTTGCATTAGCATACACATAAAGCACCTAGACTGCAGCTCTGCACAAGAAGTATGGCCAAAGGAGAAATGGTCATCCCCAAACTGAGCCTGGTTACTCCCAAGTTTTTTTTTTCCTTTCACTTTTGTCAATTGGTGAAGTTTGGTCCTCTCCACTGTCAACACTGGCTTGCTTGGTTTTGGACATGTGGAGCTAGGCATCGATGGATTTGCTTTCATTGTTTTTACTGTCAGCAGTGAAATTTAAACCACACTGAACTGAACTAAACTGAACTTCAACTCTGAAAACTGGACTGGCGCTGCTTCAGTTTACTAGAACTTCTATGTTAAGACACAATCTACATTGTAAAAGCCTTATAGAAATAAATATGAATTGGTCTGAGTATTTTAACATTCAGATTGTCGTTTTTAAAATAAAACTTAATTTCTATATATCTGCACAGTAGCCAACATTTGAAGTGGACCAACACCTTTCATCTATTCAACAACAGCCATTCTTGTTTTTGAAAAATGTTTTTGATCCACTTCAAATGTCGACTGCTGTATATACAGTATATGTTTACTTTTTTGTTTTGTATCTTAAAAATGACAGTGTGAATGCTAAAAGAACAGATCAATTGTATTGTTTTACACACAATTTACAAATATTCAGCTTTTTTGGTGTGCACTGAGGTTCAGATGATAGTGGTCCACTTTAATTTTTTCATTCGTGAAACGATGACAGATGCCACTGTTTCAATTTACTAGAACTTGCATGCTAAGCTGCTTTGACACAATCTACATTGTAAAAGCACTATAGAAATAAAGATGAAATGAATTAAATTGGCCTGAGCATTTTAGCATTCAGTCATTTTTAAAATGCAAAGCTAAAACTCAACTTCTATATATGTATGCACAGTAGTCAACATTTGAAGTGGATCAACACCTTTCATCTATTCAGCAACAGCCATTCTTGTCTTTGGACAAGTTTTAAACATGTTTTGATCCCCTTCAAAAGTTAACTACTGTTTTAGATTTTTACTTTTTAGTTTTGTATCTTAACAATGGCAGTGTGAATGCTAAAATAACAGATCAATTGTATATTTTTATACACATTTTACTAATATTTAGCTTTTTTTTTTTGCTGTGCACTGAGGTTCAGATGATAGTGGTTCTCTTTAAATTTCCCCTAAACAATTTGCACTGACAGAGCAATAGTTTTTTGTTTTTGTAATCAGATCAAGTCTGCCAAGTTCAAACCCACTTTTTTCATATCCACACAATTAAGAAACCAAAACGCAAGGGCTCCAAGGTGGATGAGCTGCACCAAACATAAAGTGAGCAGCCCGACAGAAGTTGCTGTTGTTGCTTATGCTGGTGTGGAACTAAATATTCTTTGACAAGACTATAAACATAGAAATATCATCATGGCCTGATTTGTGAAACGATGACAGATGCTATCCATGACAGCAGGCTCTGGAGAATGCATAAGAGAGAGCAGGTCAAGCCGAACCCTCCAGTGATGTATTAATCTCTCTGCCAATCCCCTCCCACACCCATTTTTTTTTCAGCTCCTGTTCTTCTTTCAAATGCACTGGGACTCTGACCTAATGTACGGTTCATCCTAGCCGTGACTCACATGCGGCGGTCTTCTTCCTCCTGTTTGCGTAACTGCTCCTCCTCTTCGTGTCTCTTGCGCTCTTTCTCCATCTCCTCCTGGATGTGCTTGAGTCTCTCCGTCTCCTCCTGCTCCTGCTTCTTCTTCTGCATTGAGGAGAGCAGCTGCTCGGAGCGTTTCACCAGGCCCTCATACTCCTGCTCGATCTCCTTGCGGCTCATTACAGTGGTCTGCAAGTACAGACAACAAGTGAGAGTTTTAATGCATTTCATTTATTTGGGAATAGTTTAGTTATACAGGGTGCCCACTCCTTAACTTTTTAAAGCAGCATTTATTTTAAATCAAGCACTGCTGTAATTCACATCTCCTGCATATATAGCACCATGAAAGTCTTTACTGTAGGCAAGGCAAGTTTATTTATATAGCATATACACAGTGGTAATTCAAAGTGCTTTACATAAACAAGAATAAAAGAGACAAGTGTAAGACAATAAAAACAAATTATAAATGTTATTAAAATAAATTAAAATGTATTAAAACAGGTTTTAAAATAATGAAAAAGAAAGACACAATAGTGCGATCTGTCGGACGTAGCACAGTGCTCAGTCAGTAAAGGCGCAGCTAAATATGTGTTTTCAGTCTGGATTTGAATGTGCTTTATGTAGGAGCACATCTGATCATTTCTGGAAGCTGATTCCAGCAGTGAGGTGCGTAATAGCTAAAAGCCGGTTCACTCTGCTTTTTTGTCTGAACTCTTGGAATTTCTAGTTAATATGATCCTAAAGACCAGAGTAGTCCATCAGGTTTGTATTCAGTGAGCATATCTGCAATGTATTGAGCTCCTAGGCCATTTAGTAATTTATAGATAAGTAATAATACTTACAAATCGATTCTGAATGTTACTGGGAGCCAGTGTAAAGACCTGAAGACAGGTCTGATGTGCTCTTAATTTATGGTTCTGGTCAGAATCCTGGCCCCAGCATTCTAGATGAGCTACAACTGTCTGACTGTCTTTCTGGGGAGGCCAGTGAGGCGTCCATTACAGTAATCCACCCTGCTGCTGATAAAAGCATGAACAAGTCCTCACTGGAAACAAAGCATCTAATTCTTGAAATGATAGTATGCTGATTTAGTTACTGCTTTGACCTGACTACTAAAGCTCATATCTGACTCCAGAATCACACCAAGATTCTTGACCTTATTTTTTGCTGTTTGACCCTGAGAGCTAAGGCACGCATTCACCTTGAGAACCTAATTTCTGACCCCAAATGACTTCAGTTTTCTCTTTGTTTAACTGAAGAAAGTTTTGGCACATCCAACTGTTAATTTCATCAATGATTTGGCAGAGGGTGTCAATAGAGCTGTAGTCATTAGGCAGAAAGGCCAAGTAGATCTGAGTGTCATCAGCATAGCTATATTTGATATGGATATTTGGTTTATATACTTGCTCAGTACTGTACTTAACATTTCACTTACACTTAATATTTACATTAAAATGCCACAGGAATGATGTTGCTTTGACGGAGTAAATAAAAAAAATAGAATGTTTTAAACAGTAATGTTCAAAGAACTTATAATAAAAAGTTGTTGAATTCAAAACTGGCAATATTCAAATTGGTTTTCGAAATATTGATAAAATGCGCGATTTTTTGTTTTAGTTCTTCTCTGAGATCAATTAAGATTTTTAAACTAAGATTTTTTTTTTTGACATCAGTGCAGTACAATTGTTGAAATAACACCATGAACAAATGTAATTTCTAATTTAATTCAAGCACTTTCAAGTACCTATGTTTGTTTTCAAGAACTGTCCAGACCTTGAATCCATATGTCTGAAACTGAAGTATCAGTAAGTACAGTTTCAGACTGATTCAAACTGGTAGATTTTGTTGTAGAAATTGGGAAACACCAAGCTGGTTTTGATTAAATATAATAAAAAGAGTTTCTTCTGAAAAACACAAAATGCTGTCATCATTTTCTCATCCTTTTGTTGCTTTAAACCCGTAAGGCTTTTGTTCAACCTCAGAACACAAAAGAAGGTAATTTTGAATACGAAGGAGCCTCCATTGAAAGTCTGTTCACCCAAAACTCAGCATAGGGCTGCATGATATTGGAAAAAACTGACATGTTGATACTTTTTATATTGTGATATTGAATATAAATTCCCCAGGCGACTGGAATAGCTCTATTTGGAAATAATTCATAATTTTAGACTGATTGGGATGATTTTGTAAGGAAGAACACCAATCACAAGAATTGAGAATACAGTAAAGCAAAGATAAACATGACATAAACAGTGCTTTATGGTTTTTTGGAAGTCTAGCAATATTCAGGTACAACATCTCACTGTATAGCCGTCATCATATATACTGTATAAACATAACTACAATTAATCAATGAAACAAATAAATTAGCATATATTAGAAAACATAGTTTTTAGCTATATAACAGTAAATACACTCCAAACATTAGCCCGCATGACAGTGTTTACTTAATCATGTCCACAATTTTTCAAGGGCAGGTAGTCTATCAATGTTTGTCAAACCAGACAGCTTGCTGATGTACCTCATGATATCTGCATTGATTACTTCAAATGTTTATCATCTGGAAACAAAACAGCATGCAAGCTTTGTAGCAGGTTGTTTTGTCAAAATCATAAATATAATGTTAAAAAAACATCAATAGTGAAAATTAATAATAAGACAGAAAGAAAAAAAGTGAAATCTAGTCAAGTTACCAGAAGCGATGCTATCAGTATGACATCCTTCATGCATACACAAACAAAAACAAACTATGGATTCATGTATGAAACTTTTTATAAAACTAAATAAGTATATAAGGTCTAAAATGAATGAAGACAAATGGCAAAAATCAATATTTTAACTCTTTCTCTTTCTAACAACAGCCACACCATACAATATTCTACCATTCCTTGTATTCTGTGCAGCATTACAGATATTTTGCTTTTAAATGATCATTAAAAATTGCTACATTAGTTGTCGATTGAAGCCACAAAGTACTTGCTAATTTCTCAGTCATAGATACTTTCCGAAACCCTTATTTACTACACTCTCTGTATGCCTACAGAAGCATCTGAATTACACGCACCATAACACCCCTTAACTGAAACACCAGAAAACGAAGCCAGTTTGTCACAGACAGCTTAGTAAGCTTTATAAACAAAATACAAAATGGTAAACACTTTTGGCTATAATTAATTAAAATCTAATTGGCTGTTTGGGTTGTCAGTGATTTATCTGCCATAAATTCACTTAACATGCTATACACTCACTGGCCACTATATTAGGTACACCTGTCTAACTGCGTGTTAATGCAAATTTCTAATCAGCCAATCACATGGCTGCAACTCACAAGCATTTAGGTATGCAGACATGGTCAAGACGATCTGCTGCAGTTTATATCGAGCATCAGAATGGGGAGGAGAGTGATTTAAGTGACTTTGAACGTGGCATGGTTGTTGGTGCCAGACGGGCAGTTCTGAATATTTCAGAAATGACTGATCTACTGGGATTTTCAGGCACAACCATCTGTAGGGTTTACAGAGAAGGGTCAGAAAACATTGCCTGGTCTGATGAGTCTCGATTTCTGAGGGAAGGGTCAAAATTTGGCGTCAACAACATGAAAGCATTGATCCATCCTGCCTTGTACGAACGGTTTAAGCTGGTGGTGGTGTAATGGTGTGGGGGATATTTTCTTGGCACAATTTGAGCCCATTAGTACCAATTGAGCCTCTCAAGAGTGTTGTTGCAGACCAGGTCGATCCCTTTATGAACACAGTGTACCCATCTTCTGATGGCTACTTCGAGCAGGATAACACGCCATGTCATAAAGCACGAATCATCTCAGACTGGTTTCTTGAACATGTCAATGAGTTCATTATACTCAAACGGTCTCCACAGTCACCAGATCTCAATCCAATAAAGCACCATTGGGATGTGGAGGAATAGGAGATTCGCATCATGGATGTGCAGCCGACAAATCTGCAGCAACATGATGCTATCATGTCAATAAGGACCAAAATCTCTGAGGAGTATTTCCAGTACCTTCTTGAATCTATGCCATGAAGAATTGAGACAGTTTTGAGGGCAAAACGGGGTCCATCACGGTACTAGTAAGGTGTACCTAATAAAGTGTCCAACGAGTGTATATCAAATCTTCTGAAGCCATAGGCAGTTTAGTTTAGATAAATGTTTGAGCAATAATTCACCAAAATAGTTATCACAAATGTTTTAAGTTCTATACTTCTTTTTTTTTCTTTAAGTCAAAGCATGTTTGACAAAACATTCAAATGTTTAAATTTCACTAATTCAATGGAAAATTATACCTTTTTTAGATTGGCAAAGCTTGCACAAATATCTCCTTTTATCTTTTTAAAAATCAAAAATAAAACAATAAGCGGTTGGTGCAGGATTAGGCTGAGAAAATGATGACAGGCCACTTGGAACTCTCTTTTGTTAAACAAATTTGAACCCGTTTTTGAATTTCAAACCAAAGAAAGTGTCAGCAACTCAGTGGCTTCTAGTCAACTCTGTGACAGGGATTATGCAGAGCCTCATGAACTACAATCTTATTAATAACCTGCAAGTGTAGAAAAAAAAGCTTACCTAGATACCCCCATTGTCGTTTTTTAAGGTTGCAAGAAAATAATATGTGGTCGGGACAACATTTGACTGTGTAAATGATGACAGGCCACTTGGTAGCACTCTAAAGGTTGCAGCTCTAAAAAAGTTTTCCTCCTGTGCTTCGTTAAACAAATGTGCAGAAGGTATTTCAGCTTGAAGAAAGTGACAGAACCCAGTGGTTCCTCGTCAGCTCAGCAACAGCGACGACGCTGTGCCACATGAGCCGCAGTTGTATTAATATCCTGCAGATATTCATTAAACCTGGATGTGGATTTCGTGCCATCTGGCAGAGCACCAGAGGAGCGTAGAGGGGTGCGAGCATTGTGCATGATCATTGTACCGCCAGGGGGGCGAGGACTCAATGACAAGGTCCGTCTCACCCCCTAACGCTAGATGAGTTAGCGCTGGTGTGCTGAATGACAGCCATTGACACAATCTGCGTTATTAACCAGGGAGGCCGCCGTAATCTCCAGTCCAGATGGTAAGGTAATAGGAGGCTTTGCCAATCAAAAAACAGATGCTAATCAAAAAAAGTGCTATGCTAATAACAAAGAGGGTCATCGCCGGTGCAGGAGTGCATAGCGCATCTCATTTAGTGAGAGGAACGGCATGTTCAGGTAGAAAAGTTTCAGCGCCGATGCCAGCTATCTATCAGAGAGAGGGCGCAATGTCTCTGGAGCGCCCTGTCAATAATGCACTCCGAGTCTGACAGATGAGGTTGGGGCTCCATGTAGAGAAGACAACAATGCATACACTGCATTCAATCAGCCGCAGCTGAGAGTCCAGAGGAAGGCAAGAAATCAACACTAGAAACGGCATAATGCTGCAAAGCCTTGGAAATCGACTTGACAGCATGCGGCGTGAATGTCAATGATGATCTGCAGACGGAAATCTCATTGTCAGACTGTCGATTTGCATACTTTGTATTTATTTACTGTGCTTTTGAATGCTCAATTTTTTTTTTCTTCGGCAAAATGAAATGAAAAGCTGCAGCCCTCTTTCTTTGGGGCCTAAAATGAGAGAGAGAGACAGACACGCGCTCAAAGCTGGCAGACAATTCTAGCCACAGCTTTAGACCGCCTTCATCAGGACATGGAAAAACACACACCTGTTGAATTATGCATGGGAACTGATACACAAGCGAAGGCTAAGAAAGGAGCTACACCGCATAACATCACTGAGCTTTGTAAGCCAGAGGAGGTGAAAGGGGGTTTGTCAACCTTGGGCGGTTTTCCAGTGGAAAACCTCACCTTGATCTTGGCCATGAGAGCGTCGGTGGAGGCGGCCAGTTCCTCGATCTGCTTGCTCATTTCCGCTTTACCCTCCTTGAGTCCGTTCACAGCCTCGTTGAACCTCTCCATCCTCTTCCTCAAATTTTTCACCTTCACCAGGCCATCGACACTGCCATGAAAAAAGGAATAACACTGTTTACTAACTGGTCTAGTCTACTGACTAGTCTCCAAAAATGCATATTTTGTACATCTCGTCAGTGATTAAAATGTTTGTAATGTCAACATTACAGATGCCACAGAATGGGAGGTATAGTTGAATAATAAGAGCTCCATACATGGAAATTATGTGAACCACAAACACCATTGTATTCTCTTTATTTCAATTTAGTATGAACAACCACAGAAAACATGCCAATCAGAACATAACACAGACTTAATACGCATGCCCTCAACAGCATTTGATTGACCCCGTTTCCTAGTCAGATATCAACAGTGATAAAAATGCTTCCTTATGCTTAAAGTTAAACGAAGCTTATTAAATTTAATTTGTTGTAAAGAAGGGACTGGCAGAAAAGAAACTCTGGGTAACCTTAATGCAATATTATCTCATCACAGCTAATCAGAATAAGACTAAAGATGAGAAAGCTGGAGTGTAAGTTTATTCAGCGCCAATCATTCAGCAAACAATCATTATTCAGTGTTAATTTTCTTCACAATACACAACCCAGGAGCAAATTAGGTTGCTTACAGAGCTCACTCATTCCTAGTTAACATGATCTCCATCAATTTAATAAAAAACTCATCATTTGACAAGATATCTAGTTAGTTTCAAATATTTTTTAACTGAAGTATGATTATTTAGCACATGCGTATCACAATGTGTAAGCATCAGGGAGCTGCAGAAGCATCAGAGTGAAGCTCATTAAAATGCATGGCCTTTCCAAATAAGGTCAAGCTAAGCCTTTAATGCTACAGGGTCAGTTGCAAGGGTTGTAAATAGACAAGTAAAAAACATTTCTGCATAGTTTTTCACTTACCCAAGCCATGTACTTTCTATCTTGATATCAGAGAAAAATTTAAACAAGTTGTCTCAGTGCATTCTAGGTCACATTTTTTTATTTTAATTTGATAATTTTTGGTATTTTTTTTTTTATATTTGGTTATTTTTTTGTATTTTTATTACATATTTATTCTTTCATTTTCTTTTTGGCTTAGTCCCTTAATTAATCCGGGGTCGCCACAGAGGTATGAACCGCCAACTTATCCAGCACAGTTTTATGCAGCGGATGCCCTTCCAGCCACAACCCATCTCTGTAAAATTCATTTTACTATTTTGTCATTTTTGGTATTTTTTATTATAAGTATTTGGTCATTTTTTTATGTTTATATCATTTATATTTGGTCATTTTTTGGTATTATTATATATTTGGTCATTTTTATTATAAATATTTGGTCCTTTTTGGTGTTATAATATATATATTTGGTCATTTTTTGATATTATTATTTATATTTGGTAATTTTTTGGTATTTTTTTATTATACATATTTGGTAATTTTTGGTATTTTTATTATATATATATTTGGTCATTTTTGGTATTATCATTTATGGTCTTGTTTGGACTTTAGATGTGGTTCCCCGAAAACAACTGCACACCTTATAAAATAAAATTAAGCAATCAACATCCCTGTTTGTATAAATAAAACTTATAACTCATTAAATGGTGGCAAACAGCAAACTGACTGGAACTTTGTGTGCATTCAAGCGTTTGAATGCATACCCTCCAGCCAAACAGAATCGAGTATTCAGACCAATAGAGCAAATATTTAGAGAAACGTTGCTCTCTAGAGTTTATTCCTCTAGCGTATTAACAAACTGTCAAGACTGAATGATTCGCCTGAGGTAAAAGTAATGCTACATTGTTTACAAGCCATTTTACTGACATCATTCTGCACTTAAAACACTGACTGAGTGTTTTTCATGTTTATTCTGTTTAATTAATTCTGCACTTAAAACACTGACTGAGTGTTTTTCATGTTTATTCTGTTTAATTAATAGTAAACAGAAACAAATTAAGTCCACTAGCTGCCCTTTAAACTGAAGCACCTATATAGACCATTTTGAGGAATGTAAACAAAAACATTGGCCCCAACAAATTTTCTGTTTTACATTTTTAGTTTCTATAGCGTACGAGAATCCAAAAAGAGCCACATATTGATAAATAATGTTCTGATTTATCTGTTTTAACATTAAGTTAGATTGAATTGCTTCTTGTGACGGTTATGAAATAATTTGAAACGAAGCAGGAAATGTTTATGGGACTGTAGCTAGGTTTCCATCCAAATTTGCTAATTAAATGTATGCGCAAAACTGGATTATTGCATAAAAGACGTGCGAATAAAGCAGCATTTCCATCCAATGAGCCATAGAGAACAAAATCATCATTTCCTGATAAACTGGTGTAAAATATTAACAATAAAGATGGAATTTGCTGCGGTAGGAGAAGCTGCGTGAATCTTTTCATCATTTAATAAATGCCTTGTAAGACTATGCCGACAAGCAATGAACATGCAGTGGAGGTAATTAACAATATAATAACACTAATACTGAAATAGTAACAGTGTTTTAGAATGACCAAAGCCACATTTCAGTTGTTTTACAATGTGCTCAGCCTGCTGGTTTGTCTATTTAAACTTTTTATCATCACATGATCTCTTATAACAAAATCGCATGACCTTTTTAATGAGCATAGTGGAATTTGTTCAGTTTTAGGGTCCTTTATTTCATTACAACAGAAATATAACCTTCCAAAAAAAATAAATAATTTTTCAGACTTTTACAAATAAGAAATTACCTGCGTACAAATAATGTTTTTTAGAGGAGTTCCCACCCTAAATCGCTGATGATAATCTCACACAGTTCAGGGGACACATACATCAATTATCTAATTTATAAAAGGTTATTTGCAGCTGCTGACCCCACTACAAAGATGATAAGAGAAGAGTGGGAATGAAAAATTGGAATTAAAATTTCAGTAGAGCTTTGGCAGAATAGCGTAGAGGATATTGATAAACAATCAATCAAGATTATGCCTCATCCAGTTCAAGGTCCTACATAGGCTACATTTCTCTAAAAAGAAATCACATAGGATTTTCCCCAATATATCTCCTTTTTGTGATAAGTGCAAATCAGAAGAAGCCGATTTAGCTTATAGTTTTGTATTCTGTCATAAAATACAGGTATTCTAGAATGAGGTTCTTAAAGTGCTTTCAGGGGCCTGTTTCAGAAAAGATGTTAAGTGAAAACTCAGAGTATGTTGACCTTGAAATGTGAGAAACTCTGGGTTGCATTCATTCATTCATTCTCTTTTCGGCTTAGTCCCTTTATTAATCTGGGGTCGCCAGAGCGGAATGAACCGCCAACTTGTCCAGCTTATTTTGTGGATGCCCTTCCAGCCGGAGCCCATCTCTGGGACACGGACACACACGGACACGGACACACACGGACACACACACGGACACACACACGGACACACACACGGACACACACACGGACACACACACGGACACACACGGACACACATGGACACACATGGACACACATGGACACACACACGGACACACACACACGGACACACACACACGGACACACACGGACACACACACACACACACGGACACACACAAACGGACACACACAAACGGACACACACACAACGGACAATTTAGCATGTCTTTGGACTGTGGTGGAAACCGGAGCACCCGGAGGAAACCCACGCGAATGCAGGGAGAACATGCAAACTATACACAGAAACGTCAACTGAGCCGAGGCTCGAACCAGCGACCCAGCAACCTTCTTGATGTGAGGTGACAGCACTACCTACTGCGCCACTGCTTCACCCAAACTCTGGGTTTTCCCGTTTCAAAATGGCAGGTTTGGCAAACTTTAGCAGGGTAAGTCAAGCCTGTTTCTGAAAAAGAGGTGACTTTTACTCTGCGTCAGATAAAGTGGTAACTTACTTTGTGAACCTAACCTGGTCAGGAGCAGGTTTATTTCTCTAAACTCTGAGTTTCTGTCGGCCTCCTCCTGTTTTTTAAAGATGAAGCGGTATTTCTCACCTTAGCCCTACATTTCCACCCACCTATTTTTATGTGCATAAATGTTGAAAAATGCAGATAAAAATGTATGCGCATAACTGAGTAGGATTAACTTTATTTGATAAGAAAACATAAAACTTCAATGGAAACACGTTTACTGAACAAATACCAGTATGCGCATTAAAAGGGTCAGTTGATTTTTTTCATAAGAGATCATGTGACGATAAAAAATGTGAATGGACAAACCAGGCTGAGCACATAGTAAAACATCTGAAATGTTGTTTTGGCCATCCCAAAACACCAAAACCATTTCAGTGTTAGGATTATAAAATTATTAATGACCTCCAAAACTGTCCAGAGCGCCTGCACGCTGCATCTCATGGCTTTAAACGGCACCAGGCGTTCATTGCATTTCAAGGTGAAAGTCATTTATTAAACAAAGAAATGATTGACGCAGCTTCTTAAAACGCAGCAAATTCTGTTTTTACTGTTGATACTGCACCAGTTAATTAGGAAGTGCATGGACCAGTTAAGGGCCCTGTCTGTCACCCATCGACTTCCAATGTAGAAAAATAAGTATGGAGGTCAATGGGTGCCAGCTATGCGCGTTTTTCAAAATATCTTCTTATCTGTTGAGCAGAATCTCAAACAGGGTTTGTACAAGTGAAGGGTGAATACAAATCAGCACAATTTTCATTTTTTGAGTGAACTATCCCTTAAATTGTTTGAATTTTCTGCTAACATGGAAGATGAAAGCATTAAAATGAACAAATCAAAGCCTGTTGATAATGAAGGACCTTGGGTTTTAGCAAAATAAGAATCAATGATTTGTTTAATAATAAACTATATTACATTAATATTATAAAATTAGCATGAACTTCTTAATAAAAAACATCTTAAATAATTAATACTTATTTGTCAAGGTGTAATAAATGTTTAATCATTGACCAAAAAGTCCTTTCAAAAGCTTATGAAACAATAATGATCACACAGAATACATTTGTAAGAGTTCCAAACTAGATTTTGAAACAATTTTACCTTTTCATTGATTCCATACATAATTCATATGAAAAAAAAAACAAAGCAGCGACAGACAGATGGTCTGAGTGAGTTTGCACAGCATGAGAAATGTCGCTCTGTAATGAAGGTATGCCAAAGTGTGTACATACCGAGGCTTGTGTCTTCTTCTGCACAGCCACATGCGAACCGTCTTCTGAATCCTAATGCAGGCGCTTGCCCTGTAGCTCATTTTGTTCCTCACTGTGGCATACAACACAGAGATAAAGATGCTTACTCATCAAACTGTAACACCGCAAAGGTGAATAGGAGGGTGTGGGATGTTTCTAATTGCTTTTATGGAAGACGGTTTACTGGGGTCATGAAGGTTGACGTACGTTTAATAACTGACAGTGTGCACCACTGGACTTTCTTCCAGCGGCTGCACACCAGCCACTTATTGACCCGTTTTACAAGCTCGGCCAGGTGGTCCGGATCAGACTTCATGATCTGGTCGAACTCTGCGAACTGAGGCACATAAACACACAGTTACATACACACAGGTTGAGATTTATGTCGCTGCTTTCAGGTTTACAAGGCTCTCGTGTGTGTCAGTTTGATGAAATGGGATAGTGGTTTTAACAGCCTTCTATTATCTACACCCTCATGAGAAATATCGTAAGACGTGATCACCTTCCCAGGGCGGAAGAAAACTCTGGTCAATCCAAACTTGTAATCGTTCTCGTTGAGGCCCAGCGCTTTAAACAGAGCCTGCAGGAGGAGACAACACAATCAGACAGTGGAATCTAGACCTTTACTTCTTTAAAATGACTATTAGAGATAAAAAGAACAACATAATTTGGCTGGCTTTGGGCCAGATTGTGTTTATGTTTCTATAACTTGCACTTAAGCGTTTGATTTTGAGCATTACTCTGAGAGAGAGACTTGTGATTTAGAACGATTCTGAATAGTAAACAAATCAATCATGTTTTTTTCAGTTTACACCACTTTCAGACTAAAGTGTTTACGTGGTGTACTGCTGTCGGAGAATTACAATTATAGCGGCCCATTTTCCAGATGTTATTGAAAATTAAACACATGTAAGCAGCATTAGTTATTTCCAGAAGGTTAGATTTTAATTAACAACCATTAAGACCTCTTTACAAAACCTCTCCACTTAACTAAGAGTCTGCCATGTTTGTAGTTTGTTAACACTTTTGGTCTATGTTTCTATAGCACAATGTTTTGCGAGTACACTGTAAAAAATGCTGGGTTCCACACAATTCCTTCATGTTGTCTCAACACAAAGAGCTCTATTTTGACGATCCATGCGCAGAGTGCAAAACGCAGGGCGCAAACGCTTTCAGGCCTTGTCAGAAAGCGTTTTTGCTAATTTTAGGATGGGAAAACCTGCTTTGCGCCATGGCGCATGGTCTAAAAGGGTTGAGTTTATTTTCCTAATGAGTTATAGGTGTGTTTTGAGAATAAACCAATAAGAGTCTCATCTCCCATTCCCTTTAAGACCCAGCTGCGTTGCGCCAAGAGCGCATTCACTATTTACAGGACGCAAAGTAAGTCTAAGTGGAAAAAATGAGCATTTCACAAGAGCATCTACTGCGTGAGAATGAGAGATAAATGATCTACTTTCACTTTCGCTCTTGGATAGGGAAACCTTTACGCACAGACATCAATTAGCCTATAAATTATTAATTTCGTTTGTTAAGTGCAAAGATTTGCTTCAAAACTATTTCTAAATTCAGTTGTAATTTCTAGCAAACGAATAAATGAACAATAATGACCAAGTGTGGTCAAAATACTGAGTTATTTCCAAATACACCTGCTATGCCCCATATGGTCTTAAACCTGACAGGTGGGCAAATCTAAGCTTGTTTTTAATAAAACAAATATAAATATGGATATATTAAATAATAATAACATTATACAAAAGCAAATTGTTATGAATGAACTGAAAAAGCCTCCCGAGATGAAGAAGACATAAAAGCAGTGATTTTTCATATTTATATAGGATAGAAAATAATATGTTTTGTAATATTTTAATCCTTTATATTTATATCCTATATCTATTCTTATTATATCCTATATATATATCCTTAATATTCAAATTTTTTCATATGTAAAGATATTTGCCTATTGCTCTCTTGTGTGTATTAAGCAGTGCGTAAGCGAGGTGCAACTCTGCACCGGAGTTTAGACCGGGTTAGTTATGGTCTAATGAAAAATCTATAATTGTTTCTCAAATTAGCAACGCACCTGCGGTCCGCCTCAGAACACCTTCCTTTTTAGACCAGAACACCTATGGGCGCACAAATGAGCGCTAATGCATTTGCTATTTAAACAGCATGGCGCAACGCTTTAAAACGACTCTTGCGCCAAGCTGAAACTAATAAAAGGACTATTGCGCCGCGTCTTGCGCCCCACTGCGCCGGGTGTATGATAGGGCCCAAAGTGATAAAGTCAGTGCTTCCCACACATAGACTAGGTATATTAACGGCCGCCCAAGTATATTTAGTGCACGGCTTGAGGCTTACTTTTTTCAGGAGTAGCACATGCGCTCCTAAGTTGAAAAATTTAAGAACACATTAAAAAATTTTGGGAGCGCAGTGAAAATATCTAAAATAAATAGTGTTTTTGTCTAATAAATGTACACGAGCACACCTTTAGAAGCAAAGCAGTTTCATTCATTTGAATACAATAAGTGCACTAAGTTTTTTTTTTTTTTTACAATATAACAGCTTAAATAGTAATACTTTATACTCGGAGAGGACGAAATGACTAGTCTAAACTGGCTGCAAAGTATATGTACACCATTAGTAATGATTAATCAACGCATTTGCCTTATTTAAATATTGTACACATTTAATTCTAGTATTTATTATAATTTTTTGAGACATTGTATGTTTTAATTCCTTTTTTGTCATTTATTTTTAATTTGCTGTATATTTTATTAATTTGATGGTGTCAATCTATTACATATTTTGTACTAAAACGCTTTGGCATTTGGCAAGTTTGCTTTAAACTTGAAAGAAAGAGAGAAGCAGATTTTACCTGTCAGTGGGTGCGCATGGCCCTGAATAGCATAACAGTAAGAAAAGTAGTGGTTTTTTTTTTTATTCCAAGTCTTTTTTTTTTTTACTTTAACCCATTGAAAAGAAACAGTGTATAACAGTGTCATAATAAATAAAACTATTGTTAAAAATGTAATTGCGTTTTGTTTGTCGCATATAGTTAACTATTTATGTGACGTGGGTAAATGGTGTGTTTCAATCCGGCTCCCACCGCAAGTATATTTAAAACCTGTGGGAAGCACTGAAAGTTAGCTTAATTGTTTTTACAAATTTAAGTAGTGTGAACATAAAATATTAAGTTGTCCCAAATCACTCAAGTATTGTGTTGATTCAGCTCATTTTAAATTAGTAGTTTAAACAAGCAGTGTACGCATGGATCTGCACTTTAAAATTCTACCATACGGGTAACTTTGAAATGCTCATTTCAACATTATAGGATTTGGGACACACTAATCCTATTTTGAAATATTGAAATGGACAGTATGTCAGGGTTCTGCCACTCTGGTCTTTTAAATTCTTGTTTTGGTGGCAGAGCTCGGACACTACCCATGTCTGGTCCTGTCTCTGTCTCTGTGTGCGCACGCGCTGTCGTGGGTGTACGCAGAGTGTGCGCGCTCCTGCTTGATGCGGCCACGCGCACGCTCTGCGTCCCTCAGATGCGTGCGCTCGTGTACTCGTGTTTGTGTTTTTGTCTGTCAGCAGCGTGGTGTTTCATTCCCAGCGTCTCAGTCTTGTTGGTTTTGGTCGGCGCTGGGGATGAAGCATGCATGCTGCGTGTGTGAGCGCACGGTGAGTGTTTTCATTCATCGTGTGCTCGTGTTTAGCGTCTGTTGTCAAAGCACGTGGCTCTGTGTTTACATTGTGGTCACGTGCTTTTGTCGTGTGCTTCAGTGTTGTGTTTGTGTTGTCATGAACATGCGGTTAATGAGTTCTCTCATTGGCTGCATGTTTTTGTCCTGTTGTATGTGAGCGCGTGGCTTGTCTCGTCTCTGTCATGCGCTCTCCCGTCTATTGTCTTGTCCCACCCACCTTGTTATCTTGTTTGTAATTATTATTTTCACCTGTCCGCCTGTCTGTTTATTGGTTTGTCTTTCCTATTTATTCTCCTAGTGTGCTCTGTTCTGTGCTGGTCCGTTGTTGATTGTTTCCTTTCCCTGTTGTATAAGGTATGCTGATTCCGGTTCTACAACAGTGGTTTAGAGTTTTGTGTCTTGCCTAGTTCTAGACCAAGTCTAGTTTAGTATATAATATAATGTCGTGTTTTTCCCCACATGGGGAGATTTGAGTTTTGTTTTTGTTTTATTTTTTCAATAAAATCCTTCATTTCCTGCATTTGGGTCCTCGACTCCTCTCCATCCACCCCCATACCGTGACACAGTATGTGAATTGGAACAGTTTGGGGGTGTTTTAGGGGATACAATACAAATATAAACAGTTTTTCAGATACTTATAAAAATATGTTGCTAAAACAGCAGGCCTGACAGTGATGACAGAAAAAAAAACATCAAGGTTTGGTCTAATTATGCTCTAGACATTGCAATACAGGCAAGATGCAATCATCAAACTGAATAAGTCATTTTCAATAATTGCAATCAATCGTTAATTGTAGTCTGCTTATAATGGTGTGGAATCTAATTGTACGTTTGGTGATGAAGCAAATACTTCATATTTAGCCACGGGTGTATGATTAAAACACTATCTGACTTCCAAATGTGTCTGTAAGTGCTGAGGATAAACTGCTTTTATTTATCATGGAAATCAATGAGGCATTATGCCTTTTCAAGTGGATATAAAGGTCATATTTCTTTCGGGAAAAAAAAAATTAATCGGCTAGCTATTATCTATCAAACTAATCCTAATTACGTACACAAGAATCTCAGATGAATAACAATCAGATTAGAATGAGCCATTTAGATGCAATGATAATCAAACTCAAAGTAAACAATAGAGATTTACTTTGCAGAAGAGTCGTGGATCGAGCCTTGTGAGTTTGTTGGGCATGTACTGCTTGTACATATTGTAAAGCTCATGAAACGGTGCTCGGGAAGGGAAGCCCCCCTGCATCAGGTCCAGCACTGATACCATGCCTGAGAGGAGAAGAGAAGCACAGATAATGTGGCCAGTGCTGCGGCAAAGTCTGGAGCTGAAGCATGAAGCAGGTTTAAAGGAAGATTCAACATCTTATTCTCTGTCATGTGCACTCAACCTAGTACCAGGCTTTTCACACTTGAACTAGTTGATCATGGGTCATTCTAAACCCCCGGGTAAACTGAGTCTTGGGTGATCTGATTTCACGCTCAGGACTATAATCTACCTGCAGAACACGACCTGTTCAAATAAAGGCATCAAAACTCAGAAGACTATTTAACAGCAGTTGCATCAAGATTTTTCTTTTGGTATTTACGAGTTATCGTTTTTACATTCATAAGATAAGGTCTGTGATAAACTTTGGGACATTGAAAAATGACAGAAAAAACATTAACAAAATATGCTATACATTTGCAAATGTAATACAGTCAAGCCTGAAATTAATTATACCCCTGGCAAACTATGACTTAAAGTTACTTTAATTCAACTACCAAGTTTTTATTATTATTACTATTATTGGAAATAATACAATCCTCTTCCAAAAAATACAGTAATAGGACAAGGTACAAGAAGCCTCATTGTGAAAAAAAATGTATATATACAATTGAAGTCAGAATTATTAGCCCCCCTCAATTATTAGACTGCTTGTTTATTTTTTCCCCAAAGTCTGTTTAACGGAGAGCAGATTTTTTTCAACACATTTCTAAACAATAGTTTTAATAACTCATTTCTAATAACTGATTTATTTTATCTTTGCCATGATGACAGTAAATAATATTTTACTGGGTATTTTTCAAGACCCTTCTATACAGCTTAAAGGGATATTTAAAAGCTTAACTAAGTTAATTAGGTTAACTAGGCAGGTTAAGGTAATTAGACAAGTTATTGTATAGCAGTGATTTTTTCTGTAGATTACCGAGAAAAAAATAGCTTAAAGGGGCTAATAATTTTGTCCCTAGAATAGTTTTTAAAAAAAAATTAAAAACTGCTTTTATTCTAGCCCAAATAAAACAAATAAGACTTTTTCCAGAAGAAAAAATATTACCAGACATGCTGTGAACATTTCCTTGCTTATTTGGGAAATATTTTAAAAAGAAGAAAACAATTCGAAGGGGGCTAAGAATTCTGACTTTAACTGTATGTGTGTATGTCTGTGTGTGTGTATATATATATATATATATATATATATATATATATATATATATATATATATATATATAGATAGATAGATAGATAGATAGATAGATAGATAGATTTTTTTTACATAAAATCCCTGTTTGGAGCAATAGAATATTTGTAAAAAATAAAGAATGATCCTGCAGAACAAACTAAGACACAAGCTAGTGAAAAAGAAGTTAATAAGTCTTTATTAACTTCATGTGCTACACTGAAAAAAATGATGGGTTCCACACAATTTATTCATGTTGTCCCAACAAAAATCGATTAACTTAACAAATTTAAGTAGATTGCGCATAAAACAATTAAGTAAAAAAATCTCAACTATTCTCAAATCTCAAGCACATTTTAAACAAGCAGCACAATCACTTTCTTAATTCAACTGTAACAAACAGGCTAATCGATTTATCAGCACAATTCCTATTTTATTTATGTCTCTTTTTTTAATATTATTTCTAAAACTTTGCTAAGAGCATATAAAACACAAAAACAGCAACCTTCAAAACACTCTTGTGATAACACCGCTTCCAAAAGATAATGAAAAATCAGTGGAGCTCACATTTAATATGGCCGCTTTATAGGCAATATCGGAATTTGTTTTTCTTAAAAAGCTCTCAAATGATGAGCGCTGTGTATTTGTGATGGATCTTCTTAAATTGAAATATTTGAAGCATTACCACAAGTGCTGTGAGATGAATTGGAGATTGAGGGGAAAAATACACCTATATAAATCATATACATACCTGAGCACTGCAGCTGAGACAGAATCTGAGCTCCTTCAAACTGGTGGCTCACCATCTTCAAATTAGGCTTCACACAACGAATGAAACTTGAGCCCTTTTACAAGACACGACAATGTATTACACTTTAACAGAGTACAAATAATATTGTATTAATAATCAGCAAGACAAGACCGTGGTGACCCCGGATTAATAAAGGGACTAAGCCGAAAAGAAAATGAATAAATAAATGAAGACAAGACCTTTAATGGAGGAACAGGGAGTGTATAAAAAAAAAAGAAATATGGAAAGTAGTTTAAAAAGCTTTTTTAAAATTTTGTTTGTTAATAGTATTATTTTTTCTAATTATAATTCTCAAACTGTACCGTGTGCAAACTGTGTAACTCTATGATTAGGGGTGTAGCGGATCACGATTCACATCCTACGGTTCGGAACACAAGTGACCTGCGCATTAATACTTTTTTTTTTTTACTTGTAGATTAATCCTAAATTTGTAACGATCGCAGAGAGATCACCTCTTGTGTCATTCAAATCACATGTATGAAAGCATTTAGGCTTTTCTGTAAAATATAATGAGGATGGAAGAAGTTGTGGTAGGTTATTCGAGATGTGGTGGGTTTCTCTGGTTATTATGCGTTTTCTGTCACTGCTTGATTAGCCTGAATAAATGCATTCAGTGTGAGCTGCACGATTAATCGTTAAAAGATCAGGATCTCAGTATCCACGGAACATAAATTATAAATGGTGGTGATTTGGATATGTTTATTAATCCTTTGAGTCGCTGCATTCAAATCTGTGTTTGAAAGATGCAAACATCAAGTTATTTATAAAGTTACAAACAGTCAAATAACACAAAAGTACTAGGAAAACAGTTTATAGTTTAGATAAAATGACTGATGTCCATGATAAAGATTAAAAGCACCGTCATATGCATATAAATTGAAGCTCAAAAATGAAAGTTGTAGGCAGCATATTAAAAAGGCCATATCTAGCAATAAAATATGATATAAACTAAATCATTATGAATAAATTAAATAATTTATTAAAAATAAGACTAAGGGGCTTTCACACCTGCCTTATTTAGTTTGGTTGAATAGCAATAGAGTTTACCAACAGAGAGAGAGAAGGAAAACATTACCTGATAGAACGCAAAATAACAATGTCGCAGTTTAGCTAAATTTATTCATGCCTCCTCCTGAAGTGACGTGCGATGCATTAAAACATTGCTTTTCAGCCGCAGCCAAGCTTCATTCTCGAAATGTACAGTTTGTCTAAAGACAAAATACAATCAGTCAGCGCAGTCGTCCCTCAATAGTAAAAAGCGACATTTTGTGTCTGCTAGTTTTTTACTTGCGGAAGTTCATTGACACTTTTTCCGCATTTGAATTCTGACCATTCGATAAGCAGTTTAGCAACTATGTTCAACAACATCTGGCCAATGAGAGATGTGGATTTTGTCAGGTTACTGCATTTTGCTTCTTTTTAACTGGATTAGGACCAAAGCCGGCAGTGTGGTGTGAAAATGATGCAAAGACGGCAGAAAATGCAACAATGTATCATGTATTGCCCTTGGTTCGGATCAAATGAAGCGAACTACAGATGTGAAAGCACCCTAAAAATAAATATGGGTTTTACAAATGATAATGTTAGATAGCGTTATCAGTAACAGTAACAGTCAAATTTTCACAGTACTGAATATATAACCAATTATTTTTATTCAGCTGATTATTTCTTTCTTTAATTTTTTATAAAATTATAGGTTCTATGTTCTGTTTGGTTACAACCAAACGTTTTAACAAACAGAGCATAAATGCAAAGCAAATTACATTTGTCTCCTCCTCTTTTTAGCCGATATAAAAAACGGGTCTGATTCATGAACAATAATGTGATCCGAACCATGAGATTTGTGATCCGTAACAACACTACTGTCCAATAAATTTAAAAAAGACTGGTAAACAAAAAAAGATGTCAAATTTACAACAACACAAATCATTGTTGACTAGGGTCCTTGTTTGTTATTTAATACCAGAATATATAAGACAAAATGTTACGAAGACACATTCAAAATTGATTAAATTTATTATTAATGTTATACTTCCACAGTCTGGCTGAGCAACATTTGCCCAACTCATATATGAATTTACTGTCTTAGTGACAAAACAAACCACCACATTTTGTTTGTTTTAATGTGCCATTAACCAGCACCATAAATCACTATTGTCACGTTGCATCATTTGCTGCGCCGGCTGGTTTGTGGAATGCATTAGACACACTCAGTAATAACCAAAACAAGTGGCCACCATTGTTAAATAGAATAACGCATTACTCACTGTACTGCGGAGCTTTTCCAGTAGAAGGTTTAGTTGGGTCTAAAAAAAAAGAAAAAAGAAATGTAAAAGTGAGTCCCGAAAATTGTAATTAAAAGCATCTTATGATATGAATTAAATAATTTTACAGAGTTGTGCTGGCATGCAAGAGGTATCACACATCTTGACACATACTGGAATTAACAGACATGCATTATTATGGTGACTGGTTCCATTACAAGACCTTTTTTCCATAAGATCGATATATCATGTTGACAAATGAAATGGTGATGCATTTTTTTAGAGATGACATGATGAACAACTACAGCAGAGACCTGTGAAAAATGTGGCATCCGCGTGCACACAAAGACATGGCAATTTACCAAGTGGGTGATGGAGGTTGGGAGGGAACAGTGGGAGAAAGCTAAGATTCGCAATTGTATATGAGGCTGAAAGATACCCTGTAGTGCTGGCACTGAATATTTCAGCCAGGCTTACCCTACAAAAGCTTCTTTTTTCCTTGTTTCTCGGTTTTTACATTTATTTCAGCCTCAGATATTTTCACAGGGAAAGGTTGAAGAAACAGGAGAAGGTCTAAGAGAGGAGGATGGAGAAAGGGCAAAGGTTAGAAAGTAAAGGAATCAAGATCACCAGGTAAGAGACTAAATGTTTTCCACAAAAGCCTACAAAATAAATGTGTAAATAAAAAAGAGGACAAAAATACCCTACAAAACAAAACACTGCAACGGTCCAAAAACAAAACCTTGAGGAACTCCTACCGTAATCTAAGGATAGCCTACAGCCTTACAGGCTTGAGAACAGTTTGTCATTTTGTCTCTCGCTCTGTTAACACCTTTGATAATATGTGCTTCTGCTATCATGAGAATATAAGTTCCAGGCTATAGGACAGATTCACCTTGAATTTGTTTCCCACACTGATAAAGCTGAGTTTGCCAGCCTTCTGCTTTGAGTCCTTGGAATTGGAGTTGTTCTCAAAAAGATCCCGGACAAACTTGTCCTTCGACTCACACACCAGGCTCTCCAAAGACATGTGGAGGGCGTCATTATTCTTCTCCACAAACTGGGTCTGCTCACACACATAGACCAAGCATTTGCGCACACACATATACACACATACAAAACCCACAGGGCAGAGAAATAAACAAAGTCAACCTCACACAAAAAAAACCAACAACTTCAAGTAAGGGATTCCCCCAAGGCTCCAATTGTTTTTACAGTGTGGCAAATTTTAATTAACCTATGTTACCCACATTACAAAACTAAAACAATAAGATGTGTTCGCTACATGTAAAGGAGTGAATTGGGACCTTACAGTCTCATAGCACACAGCGCCAGCAAAATGTCTTATGATGAAACCTTCATCATCTCTCAAATTCCTGTGGATTGTAAGCTTCGACTTCCTGGGTACCTAAAAAAAAAAAAAAAAACAGGCCACACAGAATTAAACTTTCAGTAAAAGCCATCTTTACAGCTGTGCTTATATGCCTTCCTTCGTATTTGGGTATTGACATTGATGGAATGTCAGGGTGAGTCACATAAAAAAACTCCCAAGAAGTGCCCAGATCATTTTTAACCTCCTAAATTAAAAAAAAAAAAATTTTTATATATATATATATATATATATATATATATATATATATATATATATATATATATGAAACAAAAAAGTAGCTAATTTTCATTCAATATAAGCACATTATTTCCTTTCAAATCTCAGGAGACAAATATTAAGACAAAAATTATACAGTATGTATATTTGAAATATAGATTTAGTTACTACCTGAGTAGGTAGTATTTAGGATTAGGATTTATGCACTACCTGACAAAAGTCTTGTTGTTCATGCAAGTTTTAGGAACAGCAAATAGTAACTAGACTTCTAGTTGATCATTTTGTTTTAAAAGTGGATTTATATAAGGCAAAGGACTGTAGATTATGCTTATTTTACTAAAATAAAACATGATCATGCCTTGATTTTTAATGATTTAATTAGGACATAAAGGTCTGACTTTGCTTAGACAAAAGTCTTGTCACTTAAAATAAATAATGTACAGTATAGAATATAAAGTCACGGTGTAGTGGGGAAATAATAAATGTTGTTTATGACTCCATGAGCTTGGATCCATACATCTTTGCAATGACTCAGATAACTTATTAATAAAGTCATCTGAGATGGCAAAGAAAGCGTTCTACCAGGACGCTGTCATCTTCAATGCCCCCTCCTTCACATTACCCCAGACATTCTAAATAATGTTCATGTCTGGTGACTGGGCTGGTCAATCCTGGTGCACCTTGACCTTCTTTGCTTTCAGGAATTTTGATGTGGAGGCTGAAGTATGAGAAGGAGTGCTATCCTGTTGTAGAATTTGCCCTCTCCTGTGGTTTATAATGTAATGGGCAGCACAAATGTCTTGATACCTCAGGCTGCTGGTGTCACCATTCACTTTTCAGATCTCTTGCACGCCTCCATACTGAATGTAATCCCAAACCATGATTTTTTTCTACACCAAACTTATTTCTGTGAGAATATTGGGTCCATGCGGGTTCCTAACGGGTCCTCTGCAGTATTTGTCATGATTGGGATGCAGTTAAAAAAAAAACCTACCTTCTGAAACGTTTCCAAATGATCAACAAAGTCAGGTTATTATTTGTTGCTCTTACAATTGGGATCGATGTCAAGACTTTTGTCAGGTAGAGTATTGTTCAACTTTATTTATATGTTTTGAATTAGCCCAAACGTCAGAGTAAATATTGAGGGTATTTTAATTATGACAAAAACAATAGACTAAATAAATAAAATATATCCTACATTTTGCAATGTATGTTAACATTTATTTTAAAAGGTTTCAACTATGGATGTTCAAGATCCATAAAAGCATAACTGTTAAATAAATGTTCTGAAATGAAATTCAGTGACATCTACGGTCAAGAGGAAAATTGAAAGAGGGGACCCATCTTACTCCATCTTCCACCAAATATTGAGCTACTGTTTAACAGTCCTTCAAGATAACTACATGATGTCACTGAAGGCCAAATCAAAATGCAGAAAGTGGAAATTGAAAGGGGAAAAAATCTATTAACACTTGAAGGGTTGTAAAAAAAAAAAAAAAAACTACCCTGCCGGCTGCCGGTTTAAACTTGCTATATATAGACTTGTCTGCAGGAAATAACCCATCCATAGCTTACTGTGAGACGGAAGTGATCTTTGTGCTTGCTGTGAACTGCCTCCGCAAAGTGCTGATCGCTGGGCTGCGGAAGACGGTTCTCCTCATCCAAAATATCCAAGACACCCACTAGCTTTGCCTCGACCAGATCTGCGAAGTAATAAAGCCGCAGAGAGAAGTTTGGGGCAGGCGACAGAAAGTTTTCGTGTTATAACGAATACAAGGTGAATAGAGAATTAATATATTCGATCCCCCTGAAGAAAGTATTATCCAAAGTAAAGTAGAACTCAGCATGTTTAATGGACGAATGCAAAGTTGGTGGGCACACACACGGACCTTTCTGATAATCAGCGCGAAGGCATCCGTCGTATGCATAATTCATCCGAGATGTGCGCAGGTGGGAGAGGTGCGGACGCAAACGCAGTCATGTATTTGCATGAGTTTAAAATGTGAGGTGATTGATGAGGAGAAGTGCAGGGAAAGGACCTGCGCGTCCATTTGGAAGTCGCAAGGACATGTGTTGCATCACTATCAGGAGAATTAGGAAAACGCAAAGCTGGCAAGCAGAAAGCAAGGCTTTCCCATCGGAACAGAGGTGACATCTGCGATGCAGGTGGTGTTGCGTACTTACTTTTTGCACTGCATAAGAGGCGATATGTTATGTTAAGCCACCTGCGTACTGTGCAAACTCATGCAAGCTGGAGTTTTGACAGTCTGGGCATTAAAAAAAAAAACGAAGTGGTCTCCTTTGCAAAGCATACGAGGGAGATCTTTGATAAGTCTGGGTTCAAAGCACGTGCCGACTAAAAGGATAAAAGGCATCGCTTGTGATACTTCAAGACCGAACACTTGGTATTTGCATTCAGCGAACAGGGTGAAGATTTCACCGTACGTCCTTAGATTGAACTGACTTTCTGATTCTGACGGGGTAATTTGGGTCAGACTGCACTGCTCGACCGATCACCTTTAGAGCTGGCATGAAGGCGAACTCTTCATCTTATCTCCTAACCCTCCTCCAGAAAGTGAGAGACATCCCTCCAAGGATTCATTCCTGTGTTATCTTAAGCTACACAGCATGGACTCCTGCTGGAATATTCATCTTCGGCATGTTACATCCAGACAGTGACAGACATGGCAATGTATACAAATATGTTGTCTTATGGGGACAGTATTCTGACCTTTCATTTATGCCTTGTATCAATTGGCGGCACGGTGGCTCAATGGTTAGCACTGTCGCCTCACAGCAAGAAGGTCGCTGATTCAAGTTCCCGCTGACTAATTGGCATTTCTGTGTGGAGTTTTTGCATGTTCTGCCCTTTGGGTGCTCCGGTTTCCTCTACATTCAATATAGGTGAATTAAATAAACTAAATTGACCGAAGTGTATGAGAGCATGTGTGAATGTGAGAGTGTATGGGTGTTTCCCAGTACTGAGTTGAGGCTGGATGGGCATCCTCTGTGTAAAACAAATACTGGAGTAGTTAGCAGTTCATTCCGCTGTGATGACCCCTGATAAATAAGGCACTAAGCCGAAGGAAAACGACTGAATGAATACACTAGAATTTTAGGGCAAACTAAGGCTCAGATTCCCTAAACTGATGGGTGTGGGACATTCTGTGGATTTTTTACTTATAATGTGCAAATTAAAGAACAACGATGTAACATCTCATTTACATATAGACCAAAAGAATAAGTGCAGTGTAATTTATTGTAGTGGCAAATAAGCAAAGCAAAAGGACAAACAGTGAGCTGGCCCTTCATTTTTTATGTATAGAATATCTAGTTATATTTAAAGACCAAAGTATACTTTTCTTGAATGTTTTTTATGGGCCCAGATATTTCAAACCACTCATGTACTGCTCTGTAATGGCAGCAGCTAACAAAACTAAATAAGTTGAAATCTCTCTCCGAGTGAGGCGAGTAAAAGAGTGCTGTGATCTGGGTGGGAGTGAGGTTAAGAGGGCTGAGAGTAACAGAGATCAATAAACCTGAGTAAACCACAGTCCTCTGGCCTCCACAGAGAATGCAATAGAGACTGATGCTGCAGGCTGTGGTCTTTAGTGTTCGTGTTGGCATGCAGGGCTGTAGGTTGTGACTAAATGGTAGCATCTTCCAACTTTTTATCTCCTGCTGGAGGGAGTAAATGCTTTTAGAGGTTTCACTGGTGCCACTACCAATGTGATAAGTGTTATCATTTTGTTTAGTTCAGTTCTGTTTGAAGCCACAGTTTACCACTGATTTACAGTAATAGCACTACCAGAAACCATGGTATTGTGGCAGAAATGTGGTACTTTAATCCTCAACATAATGCATGGATAAGTACTATTTTTTTTAATGAAAAATTCACATCTGAATCTTAAGGTGCTATTAATTTGCATTTCTATTAGACTAAACTAGTAAATTTTTTTAATATTAGATGTGCTGCTGTTCTCTGTCCAATAAAGTCTTGGTGTCTTTATTTTTTTTATTCTTTAATTGTTAAAGCACTTTCAAAACAGCCAAAGGGCTGTAGATGAGGAGCAAATTAAGATCAATATAAAATCCAAAAATAAAATTAAAATTACAATAGGCTGCTCAATATAACATGGAAAATATTCAAATCAACTAATTAGCACTCGTTGAAAACTAAAAAAATTATATGTTTTGTGAAGAGATTTTACAATGGATAAAGAGGTGGTCATTCAACATGAAAGAGTACAAGAAAACCATTCCACAATTGAGAACCCACACGGTAAAAATATATATGATCAATTAGTCATCACAACATTTGTTTTTAGTTCATTGTAACGTATTAAACTAAGTTAATCATCTTCTAACTTAATTGTATAAGTTGCTTGAGCTGCTTTAAGTCGGTTTAACATAATATAAGTTCAGTGGACTCATAAGTAGGGTGCTGACATGTTTTGCTATTTCGGAGGAAAATTGTGTAATTTTTTTTTTTTTTTTAACTGTGGATATCTGCACTGTAAAACCCAACTTTAGCAAATAACTGAGTGTTGTTAACTCAAAATTTACAGAAAGTTAATTCTACTCATTTGAAAAGAGTTTTTAACTCCGTGTTAAAGGTAATGAGTTATTTAAATACCTAATTACTTCAACTTAAATAGAGTAAATCCACAGTACTCATATAGATTACTTTTTTATCTCAAAGGGTTTGGAGCAATCGGTTTCCTCAGATGGTTTGAGTTGCCTTAACATATTGGGTTTTACAGTACTCAGTTGGTTTGAGTTCTCTTCATTTATTGGGTTTTACTGTGTTCAAATTGCTTCATTTACTCACATGGATTAAGTTTACAGTACTCATTAGGATTCGTTTTTGAACTTAAATGGTTTGTTGCAATTGCAATGCAATGGGTTGTTTCCTAAATGGTTTGAGTTACCTTCACTTTTTGGGTTTTACAGTACAGTGTGTGGAATCATTTTATGAGTATCAGCAACTAAAAACTTAACATAATAAATAAATTAAAAACTATTTAACTTTTATTTAATGTTTACAATGTAGTTTCTCATCAAATATATCTACCAAAAAAAACACAACATATTACTTTACAAACTGTATTGTAAAATGAATCATGAACGTTTTAATATTATTATTATTACATTACAAACAATATTAGTGAAATGAATTTAAAAACTGGATAAACACAAATTTACACAAGTAAATACATAGACTCAATAGACTCAAAATCTGCGGACATCTGAATTTCTGCACGCACAAAATCCGTGTGGGCCGACAAGGTTAATTTTATTCAGCTTTTAAAATTTAAGCCAGTATTTTTTATAGTGGAACAATGAAAAAGTTCATTCCCATCTGTGTTTCAGCCTCAAGTATAGACAACATCAATAAAGTATTAAGATCATAAGATCTAAAACTTCTATGAGGGTTATAGGGAAGCAGCACATCAGACAAGTATTTAGGAACACAATTGTGAGGCATTTAAATATAAATAAAGTAATTTTTAACTCAATCCTGAAGTGATATGGAGCCAATAGAGAGCTGGCAAAATGATGTCGTGGCCATTTTTGCAACCATTTTGAGAATTTAAGCTGCAGCATTTTGACCAATTGATGCTGAGCAACCGAGATTTGGCGATATCATAAAATAGAGAATGCAGTAATCCAAACACAGTTATAAAAGCTTAGATAACTGTCCCATATTCCTATTTATGAAACTTTGTGTCACCAGCAGCACTGCTCTCAAATGATAGTCTAGAGCCCTTTATATCCCAGTGAACCTAAAGTAAAACATTGATTCATTTTCCTTCAGCTTAGTCCCTTAATTATCAGGGGTCACCACAGCAGAATGAACCGCCAACTATTCCGGCATATGTTTTACACAGCGGATGCCCTTCCAGCCGCAACCTAGTACTGGGAAACAAGCATACACTCTCGCATTCACACACACACACTCGTACACTATGGCCAATTTTGTTTACACAATTCACCTAAAGGACTGTGGGGGACACAAGAGGAAACCCACATGAACGCGGGGAGATGCAAACTTCACACAGAAATGCCAACTGGCCCAGCACTGGCCCAGCCGGTACTCAAACCACCAACCAAGTCTATTTATTATCGCCAAAGCATTTGTCAGCAATTCACTTAAAATGTTGCAAGTCAACATACAACATGTTGCAATCCAAAATTGTCCTCTTCTGCTCTTAGAAATCATTAAAACTCCTAGTAGAGGGAAAATTACTATAATTTTTGTTATTCTTGAAGATCAACATTGTAAACACTGGACAACGACGATTTATTCTTAGTGCAAATTTTAAACACCTATGCTCAAATTAACATAAAAGCTACAAATAATTTAAGAATACAAAACCGGTTAATGGCTTTAATACACTTGCTTTAAATAAAACGTGCAGATTAACTCTGTATACCAAAACCATTTATATATATCTAACATTTACAGTGGTAATGTATGCATTAATTCCTTTTGACTGCTAAGAGCAACAATTCCAGAATAAACTATAAGCTGTCATGCACAGCGGTCGCACAGCAGGACTGAAACAAAACTGTCTTAACTTATTAACGCAAGCAGAGTGCAGGATTGATCTGAATCGAGCAACGAAGTATGCATGTGCAGCTCTCACATGAATGACTTGGTGAAGGTGAACTTTCACGCTTTACTGTTATTTATAGCCTTAAACAGAATGTGTAAATATGAAGAAAGCTTTCCCAGACATGTACATTAGTGTGCATGGTTCAAGGGACTTTACCTAATGTAATAGAAGAATAAAAAACAAGTATAAGTATATAGAAGTATAAAAAAAACACAATTATTTACACTCTCTCGTGTAGTTTTAAACCTTTATGAATGTATTTCTTCAGTTGAACACAAAAGACGATATTTAATATAATATAAACATATTTGATATAAAATCCCATCAACTAGTAGAAAAACAAAATGACAAAAAAGCGGTCACACTTTACAATAAGGTTTATTAGTTAATGTTAATTAATACATTTACTAACATGAACAAACAATGAACTATACATTTACTACAGTATTTATTCATGTTAGTAAACGTTAGTTAATGAAAATACAGTAGTTCATTGTTCATCTTAACTCACGGTGCACTAACTAAGGTTAACAAGATGGACTTGGATGTTAATAATGCATTAGTACATGTTTAATTATGATTAATAAATGCTGTACAAGTGTTGTTCATGATTAGTTCATGTTAGTAAATGCATTAACTAATGGACCTTATTGTAAAGTGTTACCAAAAAAGCAATATCTTATTTTGTGTTCAACAGATAAAAGAAACATAAAATGTTAGTAAATGATGACAGAATTTTCATTTGTGTGTGAACTATCCCTTTAAATCAAATATGCACATGTTCTCCATCATGCTTAGTGATTAGATTAGTGTGAAATATTCTTGCAGAATCAAATGAAAAGTATTTGATTGCTAACCTTAGGTATTCAATACCATAATTGGAACTTTTTGGTATTTACACATGCAGCTAACATTCAACATTCATGTAAAGAAAGCAAAAAATTATTTATAGCAAAACAGGTTGTGTAAAATGAGGAAAGATTTCCTCAACATGTAAATTATTGTGCATGGTTTAAAGGAATTTATTTAAACAGCCCCTTGTGTGGGTTTTTTAAAATTACCTTCCATGCAGTTTGAAACTCAGCTCAAAGGCTGTATTTACACTGTATCGTTCAAGTGACTCAATTCAGATTTTTTCTCTAATGTCGCACAGATCAGATTTGGATCATGTGCATGTAAGCAGAAAAAAATCACATGGATCCAATTTACTCAAATCAGATTCAAGCCTTGTACATATGTGGAAATTTATCCGACATGAACCGGAAATGGGTCCTTGTGTCTGCAGAGAGAGAGAGAGCAACTTCCACCACTTAACCAATATAAACGAATATTAAACTGTTGCATATATCACGTGCAAAAGTCATGCCAAGGACATCACATTAAGTTGCCCACAGGTTTAAAAAAGCTTAGATTAAAAGAAGATGGCCAAATGAGAACTTTTCTGTCATAAACTCTAGTAAAACAACTTGTCAAAAAGAATTTTAAAAAATTAAACCCTGCGAACAGATTAAAGAGCGCATTTTTATTATCAGCTGTCAGTCAGCGCCCGCTCTTTTTTTCATGGTTATTGCATATTTGCGGTTTGCTGTGTAAATGCAGACAATCGGATGAGTAAAAAAATCAGATACAGTCAAAAAATCGGAATTAACCATCAAGATCTGCAGTGTAAATGCAACCTAAGTAAAAAAATAGGTCTAAAAATATAGATTTTTTTAAATAAAAGATTAAACTCAGAGTCGCTTAAATGATTCGTCGTTTGTCAGAATCTTTTGCCTGTTCATTTTAAGGTTGACAACAAACAATAGTAAAAAGTTCTGTGCTGGATCCGGTAAAACATGAACACTCCTTTCACAGAGTGTGGGACTGATCATGGCAGAACATTAATGAGTGAACGTTCTGGTGATCAATGCAATAATCTACCCTGCGACGGGGGATTCATTGGCCATTTGTTAAAGAAAGGATCAAAAAAGACTGAAACTTTATCAGTACACAGTTCATGGATCAGTTTCTTCCACCAGTTCACAAATGTAAGTGAGAGTGATTAAAACGGCTGAATCTTTGATTTCTCTAGCTTGCAAAATATGTATTTAATTGTGTTTGGCTACTTGTAATCGCTCCACATGGTTTGTACTGTACTTGGTTAAGAGTCTTTATATTCTCATATCGCGTCTAAATCCACGTTGAAAACGCAAAGTGTGCTGCTTTGTTTACGAATTACGGATACACACGTGCGGCAGTCGTTTTAAAATAGTTTAGCTTTTGCCACTATGTGGATTCATACTGAATGTGTGTCGTTGTTATTACTTGGTTAAGAATAGAGTGATATGCTGGTGTTTAACTGCATTGCTTTAATGCACTCCTGCATTGGGCTCACACATATACTCTGCACTCTGACTACTTCAACCATGTTGATAAGCCGTGGTGGGCGTTTCTCTCTGTCTCATGCTGATTGCAGTCAAACTAGGTCATCGGACCAATCAGCGCTGATTAGCATCGTGCTAAGGAGGGGTTTGGCAACAAATGAATCACTGAACAAATAATAGGGGAGTTGTTGGGATAATAAGGTAAAAATAAATGCATCTTATAAGACAACAAAAGTGTTTTTGACCTTGCACGCATATCAGTCTGTTGTTAGAGACCCCCAAAAACAAAATATGAGTTTTTAATACATAAGAGGCTTTTTAAAGTGAAAGTTTACCCAAAACATATCTCATTTTTTACTCTCCCTCATGAAGTTTAAAACCTTTATCAATTTCAGAAAAATGCTGACTGCTGGCACCAACTTCAATAATAGAAAAGCAAAACAACTAGGGAGATCAATGGGTCCCAGCATTCTGCAAAGTATCTTCTTTTGTGTTCAACAGATGAAAGAAACATGAGTAAATGATGACAGCATTTTCATTTGTGTGTGAACTAACCCTTTAAGTCAAATACACACGATGTTCTATATCATGTTTTTGATTTGATTAGTGTGAAATGTTCTTGCAGAATCAAATAAAAGCATCTAATTGCTAACTTTAGGTATTCAATACCATAATTGAAATTATTTTTTTCAATTCCCACATCTAAACATTCAACATTGATGTAAAAAAAAAAAAAGACTGACTTATACTTTAGACTTTCTATGCACCATACTACATCCACTAATGAATGGAATAGAGGAAGGTCATTAATATTCACGGCCGAAGGGACACTGACCTATGCAGTCCTGATTATCAACATAATGAACTTCATTCACTCCCAGGCCTTCTCTCTGATACAGCTCTTGCTCCTGGGGAGAAAACACAAGATAAGTATACACCGCTTTTTTTGTGTGTGGCTGAAATTGGTAAAATGCTTAACTTAATCTGCTGCAACAAGATCGTCTCAAAAGAAGTAAAACTGGAATCATTAAATTGGAACAAGTGTGTGCTTACAATCAAAGAAAAAGAGTCGGTTTCTAAAAAGGCCACAGTTATGAGTCACCGATCAATACTAAAAAATCCCAATAACACTGATGACTCACCTCTTTCAGTATGCGTTCATTAAAAAACTGCTGCAGCTTTTCATTACAATAGTTGATGCAGAACTGCTCAAAGCTGTTGTGCTCGAAATACTCTGAAGAGGAATATAAAAGAAAAGCAATTTGTGATTCAGCGGCTATAGGTGTATCTCTAAAAGCATTTAACAGTTACACTATTATAGAGACAGCGTTAGTGAGAGCCAATTACTGTTAATCCCACGGCAAATTCTCTACCTTATTTCGCAACGAGACAAGCTAATAGCCAGTGAATCGCTTCCTCCACTATATGTTTAATGAGTCATATCTCATGCTGGTTTATTTTATATTTTAACATTAATGGGATATTTTAGGCTGCGTGGAGGATGCATCGATAGAAAGCACAGAGTTCTTACACCTTTTCCAAATTCGGGTTCCAGCACTTTTCAGCACTTTCAAGGTGCATTTTTTTGCTTTTCCAGCAAGTTCAGGTATTGGATGAAGCATCTTTTTTAGTTTGGTCTCTTTTTACCTTAAGTTGATATCTAAAAAAAAATGAGCTTACAGTCGGATTTTGTTTGGGTGTAGTACCAAACTTTCATGGCCAGTCGTTCATGATATTTCATGTGCATTGCTAATTTTCACAATAATTGGTGTTTTAGATGCAAAGATGCATTCTGGGTGAATGTCTCCTAAATACGTATGGAGCTAATAATATGCCAAAACTATTTGAATTTGAATTGTGCTAATTTGAATTAATAATAGTGCTGTCAATGGATTACAAAAAATTAACTAATTAATCACACTTCTTTTGAAAATTTATCTCATTTAAAAGACTGAAACTTGTTATTTTGGCTATTCAAATGTAAAATTAATGTAAACGCAAGACAAAAACTATTTAAACTCAAAATATAATTATTTATTAGAATTTTTGTTTAACTTGTAACACAGATTTCTTCATGTAAACAACTAACCCACAATAAACTATCAAGATCCTGGCTTGACAGCCATATTTATTACAGAAATAAAAATACAGGCATGTTAGTGTCATTTGAATTTTAAAACAATCAATGCCAATAAAGAAAAAAATTATTTCCAAGTTGGATTCTAAGTGGACTGTAAATACATGCCAAAATACAGGCATTGCAGATATGGAAAATGGAAAATAATAATAATAATAAAGTATTGAATACAAACTGTTGCACTCATTGTAAAGTTGTTTTGTTCTTAGTTAAGAAAAAAATTATAAAGTAGAAACAATTTTGCTCAGTCCTCCTTTACATTCAGCCTGTGGCTAAGACAGTCCAGTCTGTTGACATTATCAGGGGACAATGTGGACCTTTTCTTTTGAATGATGTGAGCTGAGAGTACAACGCAGTATTACAGCAATTCGTAACTTTTTGATTTAGTGGCTACAGACAACAACATTTAGGCAGGTTTGTTGCTAAGAAACGCGCGCGCACACACACAGACTAGAGCCGTGCACATGGTGGGTGGCCCGGTGGCTAGAGCCACTGCCTCTCTGCCCTTATTGGCTGAGGTGCCCATCTCAGGAGGCACTTGCTCTTTACTTTGCGATCGCGTTGAGCACCTGCCCCTGAAAGGGTCTGTGCTTTGTGCACGGGCCTGACACAGACACACACACACACACACACACACACACACACAGACACAGACACACACACGCACACACACATAACGCGTGCAGTTTACGACAGGGCAGCTGGAGCGACTCCCTTCAGATTCAACACACATGATCGCGTTCATCAAATCTAGAACTAAGCATTCTAAAGTATGGTTATGTTTCACAAGGATTCTGACACAACAATGCAAAGCATACGCTTTCATAGCATTTAAGGAGGAAAAATATCAAACTTAATGACACATTTGAGGACTCAGGCTGAAAGGCAGAGGAATGCGCTGTCTGACAGCTCGCGACTCCATCTTTCACTTACATGGATACCACTACTTCGATTTTAATATGATTAAGATAATACTCTTATTAAGAGTCTACCATGTAAGCAGCGATTTTATCTTATTATCTTGAAGGACAACCGAGTCACAAAATGCGGAGGTTTTTCTTTCCGTTCGCCATGCGGTTTTAAATTCCATTAAAACTGAAGTCAAAAGTTAAAAATGAAACACCAGAAATTGCATGAAATTGAACATTAATTGTTTTATACTAAAACTTGCCTTCAAAAAGTGCTTCCTTGGTCTTATCCATATTTACTTGCATGTTAAGGCTGATTTATACTTCTGCGTCAAACGCTGGCGTATGCTACGGCGCTGATCCATAGCCCTTCGCCGTGGCCGTCGGCATCACTGACGTGCACCTCTCAAAAAATGTAACTACACGTCGCAACAACGCGTAGCGCAAGCTCTGGGATTGGTCGGCTTGGTAGCGCTGACGAGTCTCGGTGGGACCGTGAGCCGCGCGAATGGCGCGAGCGATTGTTTACAAGTGTGGAGTCCCGTGAAGAAGCTCCGGATGGAAAGTTTTGTTTTGTGTTTACCTCATAGTTAAAGTTGTTGCACGTTCGCCGGTTCCTGCCTCAAAATGAGCGAGTTTGAGTCACTTGTACAACCAGGAAGTGTTCAGGAAAAGCAAAACAGAAGCGAAGAAACTCGACACAGAGGAACATTTACACCTCAATGCCAACTAGCTTTTCGGAAGTGTTAATGCAGACCAACAGAGACGTATAAATAGAAGTATAAATGCACAGCTGTGCGCGTTGCCTTCGCCGTGAGTTACACCGGTCACTTGACGCAGAAGTATAAACCAGGCTTTAAACACACATCGACCAAAACAGGAAGTAAAAAAAAAAAAAAAACTGCAACTGCATTAATTGTGATAATTTTTTTAACGCGTTGAATATTTTTAATTAATTGCATGCGTTAACACACAAATTTTGACAGCACTGATTAATAACAATTCTAAGTTATAAAAACTGATTATTATATGCCATATTATATTTAAAAACTGTTATGAATTTAAATATCTTAACTAAAAGATAAGGTTCAGGATATATACAGAACTTGGTGAGTTGAATTTAATACCTTTTACTAACTTTTTTAATAACTTCAAAAAAATGTAACACCAGCAGGACTTGCACGAGCTGCAACTGTAGTGGCATAAATGTAATATATATTTTTAAATGGAATAACATGCTGCAAATAACATACATTTAAGTAAAGCAGAGGGATTAATCAATGTGTCACAGTACTAACAAAACCAGACACTAACAAAACACAAACAAAAACCAGAAACAACTATCAGACTAATTCTGTGATGACTTATTAATATTTGTGCAAAACAACTCCAAAACAAAGATCTAATAATTATACAATATAAATGATGAAGATGTTGACAATAATACTAACAATGAACTACATTTCTCATTATTATGCTTTCTTGAATGTGCCTGAATGTGAGATATCTGCGATAAAAAGTCAGACTATTACTTTATGAAAAATAAATTTACGGTTTGCATCAAACAAAGATGAAGCATTGCAGAAAGAAATGTTTATTTTGTAATATTGTTTTTATATGCATGTTAATTTAATAAATAATATTTCTGCTACGAAACAAACAAAAGACTATAATAAATCATTCAATTCAAGGCTGAAAGCTGCAAAGCAGTCATCAGTAATTAAATAGAAAAATAATATACATCTCAAGAAAGAATGGACAAAAAGTAGAAAAGCCTCACTTCTATCAATCTTAAAAAGTTTTGGTTTCAGTTTGTGTTATTTTAAATGCTCAGTCTTATGCACAGATTTACAGTTTTCTGTGTTTGTGGGAAAAAAGCAGGAGAGTCAGCCGACCGGGGCAGAGCAGGATTCTCGCGGTGACCACTGGCGCAATACCGTTCTTTGTTATAAGCCGCAAATTTAGTTTAAACTTAGTAAAGGCGAGCTTCTTTGGCGATGATGTGCAGGGTTAGATTTTACATTTATAGAAGACATTTGCGCTGAACACGAAAACACTCAATTGATCATGGCTGGCGGACATAATCAACATAATCAATGTCATCGGTACTTTTCACTCTTCCCCCGTTTGCAATTCCCGCATTCCCCACACAAGCTCCCTGTCATCTGGCAGCGGAAAGCCTTTAGTGATTGACAGCTGATATAAACTAATATAGCGCCAATATAATTGTCTTCTTGCAGACGTGGCTATAAGCCTCGCAGTTGTTCCCAACAACAGCCATAGGCCAGTCTTTAAACCTTGCTTCCTCCAGCTTGAGGTCCGAAAACTTGCATTTCCCAATGTTTTAATTTAAAAGTTAGAATAAAGTCTACACTTGACACAAATTGAAAGTTTATCTAAAAAACTGGGCTTGAAAATGTAATACCTCGTCAGATGACGTGTATTACTTTTTAATACTTTTTAAGGCCTTAATTTTGGCTAATTTCATTAACTACCTTTTACAACCCCGCGGACACCCTAAGGTTACCGTATAGGTCAGAATCATCTCTTTATCCCTCAAAACACAGAAAGCTTAAGTAAGTTTGCTTACTTGCATGTGAGGGAGTACAAGATCAGGTAGTTCTCGAGAGCTCCCCTTGGTAAATGAGGTGAAGGGGGAGATGGGGTGAATGGGGGGATTCTTAAAAAAATGAAGATAAGGGAGTAATGCTAGACGACCTATTTATAGTGAGTTTGGAATAATCCGATTGGCTTACTAATGATTACAAATGGGAGACCAGCCCGGATCAATCATAACACGTGCTCCTCTCGAAATTAGTTTGTGAATTGTAAAAATAACACTAACAAAAAATAACTCTTGCATATCCTGTAAATAACATTTTAAACAGTGAATTTCTTGCAACTTCTGTGAACAAATATTTTAATGTAAATAATAATTTTAACACAATGGATAATATGCCGTCACAAGGCATCTTTGGCACAGCATCCAATCATCGTCAGTGAAGCACAAAGTAAGGCTCAAGAAGGAGTCCATCGTCCTACTTGACCAGAGATAAGATGTGGCTGTAAAGTGGCCGTAGAAGACATTAACAGAGTGAAGTCACATGACACGTAGGGAAAGTCCTTGAAAAAATCGTCCAGGAAAAAAAACAGTGATCATAGGTTTTGAAAGTCAATTTGGATAACTTTTGATTGATCGCCCAGCCCTAATTTATACCAACTCTTGAAGTAAATTATTGTGTTTAGCAGAACAAATAACTATATTTTAACTGTGAATTTTATAGAATTTTATTTTGGAGCGTTAACCCGAGTTTAAGGGCTCTATTTTGACGGTTTATGCGCAAAACGGAAAGCGCAGGGCGCAAACGCATTCAGGGCATGTCAGAATCCATATGTGCTAATATGAGGACGGGAAAATCCACTTTGAGCCGTGGCGCATGGTCTAAAAGGGTTAAGTTTATTTTCTTAATGAGTTATAGGTGTGTTTTGAGAATAAACCAATCAGAGTCTCATCTCCCATTCCCTTTAAGAAGCAGTTGCGTCGCGCCATAAGCGCATTTGCTATTCACATGACATAAAGTTAGTTCACTTTCGCTTTTGCTCTCGTGGATAGGGAAACCTTTACGCACAGACATCAATTAGCCTATAAATAATTAATTTTAGTTTGTTAAGCGCAAAGATTTGTTCCAAAACTATTTCTAAATTCAGTTGTAATTTCCAGCAAACGAATAAATGAACAATAATAACGAAGTGTGGTCAAAATACTGAGTTATTTCCAAAAACACCTGCTAAGCCCCATATGGTCTAAAACCTGACAGGTGGACAAATCTAAGCTTGTTTTTAATAAAAAACTAAAAAATATATAAATATGGATATAATAAATAATACTACTAATAATAATAACATTATACACAAGCAAATTGAATGAACTGAAAAAGGCTCCCGAGATGAAGGATTCAATGCAGTGGTTTTTAAATTCATATAGGCTAGAAAATGATATGTTTTGTAATATTTTAATTCTTTAAATTTATATCATATATATATATATATCATTTATATAATACCCTTAATATATCCTAAATTTTTCAAATCTTTTTCATATGTAAAGATATTTGCGTATTGCTCTACATTTTGTGTGTATTAAGCAGTGTGAAAGCGAGGCGCACAACTAACGCGCTCTGCGCCAGACTTTAGACCGGGTTTGTTCTGGTCTAAAGAACATACTATTACAGTTACTCAAAATAGCAACGCGCCAAAACACGCCTGCTTTTTTAGACCAGAACGCCTATGGGCGCACATATGAGCGCAAATGCATTTGCTATTTAAAAAGCGTGGCGCAACACCTCAAAATGACCCTTGCGCCGAGCTGAAAGTAGCAAATAACAATTGCGTCACGCCTGCGCCACATTGTGCCGGGTGTATGATAGGGCCCTATGTCATTATTCTGGGACCATATGTAAGATCTAAATTAAATCTGAAAACAAATATACATACAAGGATATAGAAAAACATAAAAATGAATGAATAAATGAATGAATAAATAAAAAAAAAATAAATAAATAAATAAATAGACAAATGAATAAATGAATATATTTTCTTCCCAGCTTTGATGTCACTAATCAAATTGTAATACCAGTAAAATCTGAAATGTTAAATTAAATTTATCAAATGCATATAAATATAATATATTCCATATATCCAATGTATGTTAAATTAAATATATATAAAAAAGAATTGAAGATACTAATATAATTTGTAGAGAAAAAATCAGGTGGTCATAGTAAAGTGTTCTCAAACTTTTGGTCTCACCAAAGCCAGCAATGTCCAGCACGCCGATGAAGTTGGAGGACGTATCAAAGGGGAAGCACTGGTTGACCCGTTTGACCACATGATCAAAGAGCCGGCTGTAAACGGCTTTGGCGAGGGCATCACGGGCATTGTTGGCCTGTTCCACCTTCAGAGGCACCCTGGAGAGGAGCAAAGTGGGACAGGAAGAGTCAAAATCTGGGCCAGGGCTTCTGCTAATGCCGCCTCATCAATACATGTCCATTCTGTTTTACTCTGTCCAACTTTGCACTCTTAAGACAGTTGCTTAAAACACACAAACACACACACACACACACACACACACATTTTAGGGGAAAGCAGAATGCCATCAAGAAATAATTTTGAGTCAAAATGTAATTTCTTTTTCTCTCAAATCTGTTATGATTGCAAATGCTCAGGGCAAGTGAAAAAAAAAATCTTGTCTGACTTTATTTGACCTGACAATAATGTGTTTCTACCATTATACCGAGGACAAAGGGATATAATTAAAGGTTGTTTCAGCCAAAAATGTTACAAAAAAAATAAGCATCAGTGAAATTGTTTGATAATGACATAAGAGGGGAAATTAGGGTTTGTTTGAGAGCATGGGGAAGTGTTCCCTGGCTTTTACAGGGACAAAGATAAATTAAGACAATCTTATGCTTCGCTGATTACTGAAAGTAAGTTTTCTTGCCTTTTTTTAAGAAAAGAACAATTCAAAGGGTTTCCACTAGTGCTTATAGGACTACACAATATCTTATCATTATAGCATAGCATTCACAATAATCACATGCAATAGACACATGCGAGTATATGCAATGTTGCATGTATGCAACATGTATGCAATGTATGCTGTGTGAGGGTTTTAAAGGCATTCAAGCCTAAAAAAATTGTTGTGTTTTTAAAAAGTCTTTATAAAACGAAGACTATGCAGCATTTACATTTGATTATTCAATTACTGTACACCTGAATACAGTTTGACTCCTTAAAAAAACTATAAAACGCTGTTTAAATCATTTGTTTTTTTTTTCTTTATTGAATTTATCTACACTTAAAGATTGTTTCTTATATTGTATGCATATGCTCTCCCCTACAGATCCCAAACAATTTAAAATGATAAATTCTTTCCAAATTGTTATTCAACTCATCTAGAGATATTGTATTCATATTGCAAGTATATAGTAGAATAAAAAAAGTATCGCAATGTTAGATTTTTCCAAAATCATGCAGCTCTAATTCCTAAGACTTGAAACTATGTTTATAGTGGCATATGGACACACACACACACACACACACACACACACACACACACACACACACACACACACACACACACAAATATATATATATATATATATATATATATATACTACACTTATTCCTGTTTCTTTTATGTTTACATTCATTTTAATACTTAAATTAAATATACTCCCCAAAACTAGATAAAAATAAAGCACAATTTAAGCTAGTATGTTTTTTGTCAGTTGAGCTTAAAAAGTTTATAATATTGGGTAAGGAAGACAAAACACCATCAGGAAATCTTTGCAAAAAGATAAAAATCTGCTGCTGGAAAAAGATGTGTTCTGGGCAACACTGAGAATATGAACAGACAAAAAGACATATGTTTGAAAATTATTTGTTTTTAATAAACATATTGCATCATACCCAATTTTTGGACCATTTAGGTGTCTTTGGTCCACACTCCCTTTATAAGTTGGTCAAACTTTACCAGCATTTGTCTGGAAGTCGATCAAAACCCGCTTGAACTCTTCAAAGAGCAATTCCAATAGAGTATATAAACAGAGCCTAACTGGTCAAGAGTGAAGACACATTAATAGAATCTAAATTACTTTTAATACCATGTATTTCAACACCAATCAATCAACTTTTAATATATAGCACCTTATTACAACCAGGAGGCTGCCCAAAGTGCTTTACAGTATTAAAAACCAAATTAAACATTAAAACACATAAAACAGTAAGAGCACAAGTGTCAATAAAACAGCATTAGGTACTACCAAAAATCAAAAGCAAGTGTAAACAAATAGGTTTTAAGTTTTTCTTTAAACAGTGCCACATCTGTGATCTGAAGGGAGGGTGTTTCACAGTTTTGGACCTGCCAATGCAAATGAACGATCACCTCATTGTTTATACCTGGATCTAGGGAACCTCCAGCAACAACTAGCCTGCTAATAGTAGGGCCCTGTTTGGTTTAAGAACCTTTAAAATCTCACATAAATATGAATGTGCAGAACAATTAACTGCATAAAAAACAAACAACAGTAGTTAAAAATAAATTCTGAAATTAACAGGGAGCCACTGAAGAGAGTAAACGTAAGGTGCTCACGTTTCCGACTATTCGTCAGCATGCGAGCAGCAGCATTTTGCACCAGTTATAACTGATGAAGGTTGGGTTGATTCCAACATAAAGTGCACTGCAATAGCCCAGACGAGAGCTGATAAAGGCATGAATGACTTTCTCTAGATTACGCTGGCTCAGAAATGGCTTGAAGAAGGCGAAGCTAGAAAAAACTTACCTTGATCACTCAATTAACCGGTTTATCAAATTTTTAAACTATGTTCCAAATTCACTCCTAAATTTTTAAGTACACTTAAAATACTTATATAAAATGAGTTCAAACAACACAATTCTTAAGTTTTTTAGGGGGCAACTTAATTGTTTTAAGTTCAATCCACCAACATTTTTAAAACGATTTAAGTAACTTAATAGATTTGTGTTGAGGCAACATAAAGGAATTGTGTGGAACCATGCATTTTGTTACAGTGTACATGGCTAAAATATGGGGAAAAGCTAAGATGAACAGAGGGTAACTCATTAGGAAGATTCAAGTTGCCAAACACAATCCATTCTGCTTTGTCTTTGTTCAGAGAAAGACATTTCTGTGACAGCCAAAGTTTGAAGTCAACTAAACATCCGTGCAGAGATTCTGAAGCAACAGGGAGAAAGATTTGAACATTGTCAGCATACAAATGAAATAAGACATCCTCCTTTTCTGCTTTGTTGTTCATCAAGTGTGTAAAAAAAATATATATATATTTATTAACTACTAACCCTATGTCGTTACAAATCCATGAGACCTTTGTTTATCTTCAAAAAAAATAAATAAATAAGTCAACATTTTAGATGAAATCCAAAAGCTCTCTCATCCTCCATACATACCAACTGTCCCAAGACATTCAAAGTCCAGAAAAGGTACCAATAACATTGTCAAAACATTTATTGTGACTCCAACAGTTCAAATGAAATCATACAAAACTCCAAAAACAAGTTCGTGTGCCAAACAAACTGTAAGCACAACTCTGTTTACTTATATATCATCTGACAACTACATCAGGTTGCTTAATTGAGCATTTACTAAGGGCAGAACAATGTATTGGCATTAAAGTCAGCAGTGCAACTTGCAAATAGTGTACTGCCTGTAGTAAACGCACAACCAGTTCTGACAAGGAAAACATTGCCGAACAAAGTTGTTTTTACAGTTTGAAGTCACACAGAATGTTTTTGCTGTTTTCTTTTGGACTTTGAATGAGTCGGAAGATTATATGAAGGAAGAGAGAGCTCCAGGATTTCATCTAAAATATCGTAATTTGTGTTCCGAAAGACTGAAGATCTCAGGGGATTTCAACAACATGAGGGCGAGTAATTAAAAACAGATTTTTCATTTTTGGGTGAACTCACCCTTTAATGGTCCCAGCGGAGATTAATAATATAATAAAAGTAGAAATACAGTACAGGGAAACGATTAAATCCAAACTTACTCTTTAGAGGGAACAGTGATGAATGTACATACACAAAACAAGCAGCGCTCCGAAATCCCGTTGAAGCTTAAAGGGCTGGAAATGCAGCAGAGCCCAGAGATATTACACGAAAACACAATAAATCTCTATAACACGCGCCTGTTAAAGCAAAGCAGCTCATAATCGCAAGACACAATGGCTCCGCACTATCCTCATGAGGCGCACGACTCGCGGCGACCATCTGAAACTCCAGAACTGCATGATCAAACTCTTGACGCCTGCCGTCCCGCTGTGGGAATACCTGCAGTGTGACTCTTATTGCCTGCGCAGTTAATAAAAGCTGGACCTGGGCCCGCAATAATCTCTAGCATCTCGGGTCTGCGAGATTGCTTTTCATTAACTCGCTTTTATGCTATTAGTGTATTCCCCACATCGAGAGGCTTGCAGTGCTCTCCTGCCTCACAATGTCACCCGCTTTGTTGAGTTGAGCAGATTTAGAAAAATCACAATGCGCCCATGAAATGAAGCTTTTGTCAGGCTCAAGCTGCTGCCCTCTCCGCTGTCTATCGGTGTGAATTGCGAGGGTCAAGGTAGCCTTGTTTGAATACAGTCTCCATAATTTTCCATAAAAAAACGTGTAATGCATATGTACGTGGCTGTGCATCTGTTGGCAGCCAAATGAGGAGGGCAGCGAAACCTCCAGCGACTTTGATTCTCATCATACCTAAAAGACCCCAGGCCACTCCCACAGACAAACATCCATTATTCATGCAGTGCAAACACTCCCAGTCCAGCATCTGTGCTTGGTTAAATATTAATCCTCCGAGCGCTGCCCTATCATTCAGACGGTGCAGAATATAAAACCTCACCTGGGCGAAGAGGAATGGAGCGTACGATTCAATCGAGGCCATCGGGTTTTTCCAATTTCTCTCTCCTTCGACAATTGGTGTGTGGCGTAATTGAACTGTGGGTTTTACATGTCGAAAGCTGAGAAGAGCTAGGCTTTTAAATGAGATAAAAGATCAAGATTTTATATAAAGTTTCACCGTTTTATATAAGACTTAAGGTTCCATATTGTTTTCGCCTAAACAAAAGAGTGTTTTTTCCATAATAAAGATCAGGTACACTTTTTTAAAACATATATAATTTTTGTAATGCATATTATGAAATATTATTACTATTCATTAAATATATATTAATTTAACCCATAAGAGGCCAGACTGACTTCTCCTTATAGAAAACTGTAAAGCAGACCAAACGGACCACTTATACAGTAACATGTTCCTGTAGCTGTTTTTGAAATACAACCCCCACCTTGTGAAATGTCTGACAATGGACAATAATATTAATTTAATTTTATTTTACATACTGTGCGTTACTACAGGGAAACAAACAATCCCAA